GTTTAAACCTTATCAACAAAGAAATATACAAAAAATTAATGGTACTTGCATAAAAGAAGTATCCCCTTATTAAAAAAAAAGTTCCAACTATAAAGTATGGTTTCAATAAAACTTGTTTATAAAAAACAGAATGGATTAGGCCTGTGTGCGGGCTGTGATTTGTCTAGTCCAGTGTTTCTCATATAGTGCTCTATCAGCATTTGTTAAATGCATTTGTTAACAATGGAAACTCAGGCCCTGTCCCAGACCTACCAAATCAGGGACTCGGATGATACACCTAGCACTTTATTTTAACAAGTCCTCTAGGAGATTCTGGTGCAGGCTAAAATTTGAGAACCACTGTAAATCTTTCTGATTACCCACAGAGTACTCTCCCATCCCATAAAGTATTAATAACTAATGTGACTGATAGGTCCGACTTCACCGGAAAGTCCCCCACCACTCTATTTCTCTCTTTTGAAGTTCCTCCTCCAATATCCCAGGGGCTCACATATCCCAATCCTAGTCTCAGTTGACATTACTGCTATTTTGCTGTCCTGGACACATTTTTTTCTCCATCAGCTAGGACTTGGCCACTCTCTTGAATTCTGCAGCTCCTCAAGGTAATAAATTCTCACATAGCCATCATTTCCAAAGCACTCCTACCCTTGAACACTCCCAGGATGGTAGAGAATTAAGTTTCCAGTCTCTGCCAAGTGCCCCAAAATCACCCTTCTCCCTCTCTGCCTTACCATATCCCTGTACCACCCCCACCTCCATGTCCTGACCCTACATCAAATAACAATTCTTTCAAGTTCTTTTAGGGGAAAAATCAATACCCCTTTCTCGCTTTAACATTGTATAACACTCCGCAGCCCCACTGTCATGGTAGTCCTGCCTTATCTGATGTTTTGCTTTCTGCAGTTTCAGTTACTCATGGTCAACTGTGGTCTGAAAATATCAAAATTGAAAATTCCAGAAACAATACATTTTAAATGTTGCATCATTCTGACAAGCATGATAAAATCCTGAACCATCCCATTCCATCCCTTTGTCCAGCATATCCACTCTGTGTATGTTACCTGCCTGTTAGTCACTTAGTAGCCATCTGAGTTATCAGATCTGAAAAAAAACACAACATACACAGTATACATTTTGGGGTTTGTTGCTGTTGTTGAGATGGAGTCTCACTCTATTGCCCAGGCTGGGGTGTAGTGCTGTGATCTTGGATCAACACAACCTCCACCTCCCGGGTTCAAGAGATTCTCCTGCCTCAGCCTCCCAAGTACCTGAGATTATAGTCATGCGCCACCACACCTAGCTAATTTTGTATTTTTAGTAGAGATGGAGTTTCACCATGCTGCCCAGGCTGATCTTGAACTCCTGACTTGAGGTGATCCATCCACCTCAGCCTCCCAAAGTGCTGGGATTACAGGGGTGAGCCACTATCCTTAGCCCACAGTATAGGATTTGGTCCTATCCATGGTTTCGAACATCCTCTAGGGGTCTTGGAATATATCCCCGTAGATAACAGGGCGCTATTTTATACTACAACAAAAATAGGTGTGACCATGCAGCTTGCATCGGAAAGACAAATAATATTAACACATGTCCTCTTCCTCTCCTCTTATGTTTTCTGTTATCATTGAAAAACGAACTTTCCAAGTTTCTACTAAGCTTTCAGTTGATAGAGAGTCATTTAGGAAATACTAATTTGCCTTTGATTATGAAAAGCCTAGTCAGGAATGGAGATGCCTAAGAGTGGGGATCCCATGGGGGTACAAGGGGAAGAAAATAAGGAAACAACTCTGCTGAATAATCAGATGGGATCCCTGGGGTTAGATCATCGATGTTTGACTTTCACTGGACAAGCTCCCAGAAACAGTCTGGAGGATTGGGGAGTGGTGGGGGAGGCTGGACTGTAGAAAAGAGAGGAACCAACCACTTGTCAGGAATCTGGTACCTAACCATACAAATGGCTACCAGTAATGGCTGCCATCATCACTTACTCTTGCTTCCCTAATTCGCAAACTGTAAAGTCGGTCACCTTGAACTCAGACGTGGGGAACAAAATGAGAGTCAACCACATTGAGGGAGAAAGCATCTGACCCTTGTTGAAATGTTCTGAATTCAGACATGCATACAGTAGGGTAGGAGAATGATGGCAATTTCTTTTGTGACGATCTCACCTCTTCTATGCCCTAACTACTGCTGGAAATTTATATACTCTGTTCCTTTCAGTTGGAACCACCCTCTTGCAGTAATTTGCCAAAATGAAGAACACAAGGGGAAAGAGGGGAGGCACCCGATATGTGTTCTCTAAGCCTTTTAGAAAACATGCAGTTGTTCCTTTGGCCACATATATATGAATCTATAAGAAAGGTGATACTGTAGACATCAGCAGAATGGGTACTATTTAAAAAGAAATGCCCCACAAGTGTTACCATGGCAAAACTAGAAGAATCTACAATGTTCCCAGCATGCTGTTGGCATTGTTGTAAACAAACAAGTTAAGGGCAAGATTCTTGCCAAGAGGATTAATGTGCATATTGAGCACATTAAGCACTCTAAGAGCCAAGATCGCTTCCTGAATTGCGTGAAGGAAAATGATCAGAAAAAGAAGCCAAAGAGAAAGGCACCGGGGTTCAACTGAACCACTAGCCTGCTCCACCCAGAGAAGCACAGTTTGTGAGAAGCAATGGGAAGAACCCTGAACTGCTGGAACCTATTCCCTATGAATTCACAGAATAAGTGGAAAAAACAAAAACAAAAGCCTCTGGACTGTAAAAATGTTTCTCTTCATTGAGTAGAAGTGTGATGCTCTGTCCCCCAAAGATACATTTAAAGCGAATTTTAATTGTGTCCTAATTTATTATGTAATGTCTTTTCTATTCAAATTCAATGTATTTCTTGCTGAAAGACGTGAGGTAGCTCATTGTGCAACAAATTTATTGGTTAGAGAACGGCCAGATATTATTTATGAAATATCTGTACTGGTTTGAAGCTAGTCCCTCTAAATCATCATGGAATAAATAATTTTTTTAAACAAGAAATTATATACTCTTTTCTAGATAGACGATCAGGAGGAAACACAGCAAAGATGTCATTGGTAGAAAATGCTGACTGCTTAAAGCAGTCTTTTAAAAAAGATTTAAATGCATGCTTGTTACTGTCGTCGTTCGGGTATTTGCAATACTCATTCCTAGGACCTGTATTCATATGAAAAGAAAATCACCTTTGAGCAGCCAAGGCAGTACAGATCAGTGACCTGGATTCTTTTCAATATATCCTTTTCAATGTATCTTTTCAATGTATTCCTTGAATGCTTTTCAAGGCTACAAAATTGTTCAAGTTACACTGTAACTAGTATAATGTGTCTACCCAGTGTAACCTGAACTCAGATACAAATGATTAGCACACATTTCAGAAAATGGATTGTGAATTATTATAAAGTTCTCATCTTAATGCATTTTAGAAAATATCTGAGACTTTCTATATGATGTTCAAAAAACAAATTATTTATTAGCCACTGACTCAATTCATTTTTAGTAGTAAATATCTTATTGTCTCATTAATTTTTTAAACTTAGAATTTAGCAACATAAGTAAATGTTATAGTTTTGCCTTTTCATAACTAATTTTTAAAATGAACAAAACATTTATATGTTGTGCCATTTTAATCTTGTAATCTTGAGTGCCTTATTCTTTTTTTTTCAAGACGGTGTCACTCTGTTACCAAGGCTGGAGTGCAGTGGCACCACCATAGCTTATTGCAATCTTAACCTCCTGGGCTCAAACAATCCTCTCACCTCAGCTTCTCAAGTAGCTGGAACTATGGTTGTGCAGCATCATACCTGGTTACTTTTTTATTTTGTTTTGCTGCTGGTCTTGATCTCCTGGCTTCAAGCAACCCACCTGCCCCAGTCTCACAAAACTCTAGGATTACAAGGGTTTGCTGCCATGCCTAGCCTTGACTGCATATCATAATTATCTTTTAAGATTAATTCCGTGACTTTTTCCTTTCTGCTATCTTCATTATACTGCTTAAAACACACAAGATACTTTATTTGAATTGAAACAATGAAGTCAAACTGTTTCTAAGTAAATCTGATTTGGCTAGTTTGACAATGAAATTAGGTTCTATTAATTAAGTTATAAGGCAAACATTTAACATACTTGACAAAGTTTCTTTTCTCCCCCCTTGTTTTTGAGAAGTCTCATTCTGTGGCTCAAGCTGGAGTGCAGTGGCCCCATCACAGCTCACTGCAGCCTCGACTTCCTGGGCTAAGGTGATCCTCCCAACTCATCCGCCCAAGTAGGTAGGACTACAGGCATCACCATACCGCCTAATTTAAAAAATTTTTTGTAGAGGTGGGGTCTTGCCATGTTGCCCAGGCTGGCCTCAAACTCTGGGCTCAAGCAATCCTCCCACAGACAGGAAAAAGGGGCTGGAGGGATCGGGCCTAATCCTCAGGCACACGGCCAGGAACAAGGGATGCCCGAGGGAAAATGGGATGTGCAGGCAAAAGAGAGACAGAAGGACCTTGGAGCTACCTGCTGGGACAAGAACAGTGCAGGATCACAGGATAAGAACGACGAGGGTTGGGCGAGTTTAGAATGTGCAGATCCACGTAGGGTTCGCATTATAACTGTCTATGGCTCCGGCAAACAGGAGCAAGAGAGGTAGGACTAAAATGCCGCCGCGGATGGAGCGGGGTCAGAAACTCACTGCCCTCGCTTAGACCCGCTCCGAGCCAGCGCCCTGTCGGCCCTAGGGCCCCAGGTATCGCGCGGGTAGAAGCCCTAACCGCCGGGACCTGGCCGGTGGCCCAAACTCCACAAGCCGCGTCCTTCGCAGCCTTCTCTTCTTCGTCGTTGCCGCCGCCGCTTCCGGCGCAGCTCCGACTCGCGAGGGCGCTCGCGTCCGACGACGGCCGAAATTGGCTCCTCCCGGCCTCCGTTGCCGGACTTTCGTCGAAGTTGTCACCGCCTTTTCCTCCATTCCCCCCGTTCCCTTTCACTTCCGGGGTTGCCCTGGATCCGCTGGTTCCGTAACAACATCCCGTTGGCTTCACTCAGGCGGCGGGACCAGTGCAGCCGCCGCCTCCCAGGAGCGCCCGCCGGTCGCGGCCCTTGCCCTCGCCGGCCCAGGCCGCCATGGCCACCAACCCGCAGCCGCAGCCGCCTCCTCCAGCGCCGCCGCCTCCCCCGCCGCAGCCGCAGCCACCGCCGCCGCCGCCGGGCCCCGGGGCTGGCCCAGGCGCGGCCGGGGCGGGCGGCGCGGGTGCCGGCGCCGGGGACCCGCAGCTCGTGGCCATGATCGTGAACCACCTCAAGAGCCAGGGGCTCTTCGACCAGTTCCGCAGAGATTGCCTGGCCGACGTGGACACCAAGGTTCGGAGCGCCGGGTCTGGGGGTCTGCGGGGGAAGGGGAGGACCCAAGGGCGCGCTTCTTTTGCAGCGGCTTCCTCTTGGAGCTGCAGCTGTGTGCCACGCACTGTCCAAAGCACAGCGTGTTCATTCGTTAGCATGGGTCGTTTACCGACTCGTGTTTAAGTACCTACTACGTGCCAGGCATGGTTTCGGCGCAGTGATTACGCCAGTCTGGTGAGCAAGACTAAGGCATTGTTCTTACAGGAATTGGTTTGGAAGCTGGGCTAGCAGTGCCCAGTTTTGTATTCAATCTGATATCTTACTATTTTACTTTGTATCGCAGTTATGTTTGCCTTCTCTTTTTAAGGTTTCTGGGCAATAAGGGCTATGAGCCTTTGTCCTTTGGAGAAATCACTCAATTGTTCTTGAATCAAGTAGAGTGCAGTATGCTTTGCTGGACATCGTGGGGGTAGGAGTGCGAAGATAAAGAGGCAAACCCGAGAAAGGACTTCAGAATGGTTTCTAGCAGTGACTGCCTGATTTAGGTAACTTAGGCCATGTCACCATTCTAAGGTGAGAAGGGAGAGGGAGGTGAGGTAGAGAGAACCGAGTCATTCAGTGGGGAAAAGATACAGGAGAGGTGACGGCAGATACCGAAGTGGAGAAAGGACAGGAAAGAGAGCAGATTCAGGAGAGTAATGGAGAGGAGAGAAAGGTCAGCAACGAAGTTCCCTGTCCAAAAAGAGGGGCGGGAAAGGGGAAGGGATTTTGTAGTAAATGTCAGAGTGAAAGGGACATCAGCAGGGACAAGTAAACTTAGCTGGATTGGCAATAATGAGCCAAAGACACCAGCAAAGAGCAGTCAGTGAGATGGATGGAAAACCACAGGAGAGAGTCAGGAATTCTGAAAGCGGGAAGCATGTTGGAAAATTCATTGGTTTGTAGGGGTTTTGTCTGCTTGTTAATTCTAGTTGGGTCCATTGGATTGGAGTTTTGAAATGAGAGGGGTTTTTGTTTTTTTGTTTTGTTTTGTTTTGTTTTTTTTGAGACGGAATCTCGTTTTGTCGCCACGCTGGAGTGCAGTGGCGCAATCTCCGCTCACTGCAACCCCCACCTCCCGGGTTCAAGAGATTCTTCTGCCTCTACTTGCCAAATAACGGGATTACAAGAGCGCAGCTAGTTTTTGTATTTTTAGGAGAGAGGAAGTTTCGTCATGTTGGCCAGGATGATCTCAATCTCCTGACCTCGTGATCAGCCCCCCTCGGCCTCCCAAAGTGCTGGGATTACAGGCGTGAGCCACCGTGCCGGCTGAGGGTTTCCTCATAGTATGTTTAGTTGTTCTGAGGAGCCTTGTTTCTTTGAGAAATGTATGTTTACAACATCCACAGATTCTTCTGAAGCTTTCAGGTGAACTACACACAGTTCCACTATCTCTTCTGGGGAACTCTCTTGAATATCTGGGTACATCTTTCTTTATAAGAAGTCATGCTGGGCCCACTACGTAAAATGTGATTTTTCAGGATATTGGAGGTTTAGCACCACAGAGAATTCAATTCACTTTTGGGTGTTCATCTATTTAGGAAGTACAGTTTTTTTACTTTTGTCTTCAGGAATATGCACTGCTACCTTTTAGAAATAATGCCTGTTGCCTTTATTATTTTTGTTGTTATTTAATGGGAAAAGATAGACATGGCCAGGTAAATGTTACCCAAATAAAGTAAGTTATTCGTATTCAACAAGTAGAAATTTCAGTGTGCTGTTCTCAGAAACTCATGGATCTGTGCATTATCACTGTATACGAATTAAAAATTGTAATGTATTGCTGCAGTGTGTGAGGCACAACCTTTTCATTTGCCTACTCCCACAAAATATTATTGTTACGTGCCTATAATATCCCTGCCACACCCTTCAAAGTAAAGGATTAAAACCTTTCTTGGAGGGAATGAGGGAAGCACAGCTGCTCTGACCATTTAATGAAAAAGTTAGGACTTTCAAGAAAAATGCACAAATAACACATTAAACTGCTGTTTTTCTACTTCAGAATGGTCGACTATAGGCAATTTCATGAGGATCAACCTAATAATGTATATAGTTTCAGGGAGTTCAGGAACCATGGCGTAAGAACCTATTTTAATGTTCTTAGCCTCTTTTTTGAGGTCAAGAATTGAATGATATTGCTGCAACAAAACTCTTTCATTCCCAGGTACAGTACTTATTTATATGAACAAGGTTTCTCAGGGCATACAACTATAAAAATTAGAAATAGGCATAGAAGTAATGCTCAACTCGTCTTCATCTATTAATAAGACATATTCAGCTGCAGACGTAGGAACTTTAGAAAGCAACAATATGGCCAGGCACAGTGGCTCATGCCTGTAATCCCAGCACTTTGGGAGGCCGAGGTGGGTGGATCATTTGAGGTCAGGAGTTCAAGACCAGCCTGACCAACATGGTGAAACCCCGTCTCTACTAAAAATACAAAAAAGTTAGCTGGATTTGGTGGCACATACCTGTAGTCCCAGCTACTTGGAAGACTGAGGCAGGAAAATTGCTTGAACCCAGGAGACAGAGGTTACAGTGAACCGAGATCACAGCACTGTACTTCAGCCTGGGAGACAGAGCAAGACTCCATCTCAAAAAAAAAAAAAGGCAACAAAACACATTTTTCAATAAAACTACATATACTGTTTAATAATTATGAAAATTTCTAATATTTGTGTTGCTTTGAGGAATTAGAACTGAAATGACACCCTCCCAGACAAAAGAGAACACTTGGACTATGGTTGAAGTTCTTTTCTCGCTCAGATGCTAACTTGAACTCTCCCACAAAATCTCTTTCCCCTCGCCACCCACCTCTGTACCTGCTCCTGGTTATGTTACAGGTTATCTTCTGGTTGTGTTGCTTCCTTGCCCCCATCACTCTCTCCTTCTCTTCCACTCCCTTAGTTAGCAATCAGGTAGATTTTAATTTGATTTAAAAGATTTGTTCTTGGCCAGGTGTCATGGCTCATACCTGTAATCCCAGCACTTTGGGAGGCTGAAGCAGGTGGATCATGAGGCTAGGAGTTCGAGACCAGTCTGGCCAATGTGGTGAAACTCTGTCTCTATTAAAAATATAGGAAATTAGCCGGGTGTGTAGTCCAGCCTTGTAGTCCCAGCTACTTGGGAGACTGAGGCAGGAGAATCACTTGAACCTGGGAGGCAGAGGTTGCAGTGAGCCGAAATCAAACCACTGCACTCCAGCCTGGGTGACAGAGTGAGACTCCGTCCCAAAAAAATAAATTAATAAGAAAAAGAAGTTATTCCTCCCCCTGCCCTGCTTCCCCCCAGAAAAACTCAAAGTTTCCTTCATCAAAACATAACATTCATATCAATGTGATGAGTGGGCCAAAGCAGAAGTAAGATTTCCTATTCATGCAAACGAGCATCACTTTAATGGAATCCTTGCATTTCATCTGCCACTTGCGGTGTCATGCAATTGATAATTGAACCTCAAAGATTGACCTGCTTTCTATCAAAAAGTCTTAACTTGTAGCATATAAGGTTATAGCAAATTAAGTCAGTCACATACATATTTAAGAATCAAGACATTTGATAGCTTCCAGGTGCTCTGTAAGAGCAAAACTGTCATCTAGTTGAGTGTGTTTAAACCAGGATGAGAAGCACCAAAGTCTGCTGCTACTCCAGAAGACCACAGAAACCCCCCAAAACTGTCCAGGGTCAATGATAGTCCTTAACCAGGAGAGAAATCTGACTGTAGCAGACGAGTCAGCTCTTCCCACCCAAAGAAATGGAACCATGGGCAATCCTAAGTCCCAACTACTGTGAAGACTCCTCCGTTATAGACTACCAGTGTCCAGATCTCTGGAGCAAGCTTAGTGGTCACAAAGCCATTCTGTCTCCTTTGCATTGATTGGCAGTTGTAGAGTGTGAGGAGGGGGAAGATAAAAGAGGCCCTTCAGGGATCTCACTAACCGGGTATATATGGGACCTCTCCTCTCAGGTAACAAAGTCTGATTATTTGGACATGTCTTTGTTATAAATGGCCCCTGGTCGATTTATTCACCCAACAAACATTCTTTGAGCAACTCTTATGTACAGTCATTTTTTTAGATGCCAGGGATACAGCAGTGAACCAAACATCCCACTGTTATGGAGCTTACATCCTAGCAGAAAAAAAAATAGACAACAAATAATGTATGATAGGTCTTATGGAAAAAAGCAAGATGAGGGATAGATGGGCTTACTGTTGCATTTCGAGTAAGTTGTTCAGGGTAGGTTTCATTGTGCTGATATTTGAGCTATCTGTGAAGGAATCAAAGGAGCAATGCAGCTGTCTGGGGCCTGAGCATTCCAAGAAGAGAGCATAGCAAGTATAGAAGACCTGAGATAGACCCACTAAGGAGAAAGTGACAAGAAGTGTGGTGGCAGGCCCTTTAGTCCCAGCTACTTGGGAGACTGAGGCAGGAGATCTGGCAGATCTTGGGAGCCAGCGGAAGAGTTTGGCTTTTACTCAAGCTCAGAAGCCATTAGCAGGTTTTGAGCAAAAGAAGGACATGGTTAACTTCCATTTCAGATGGGTTGACCATATGTAAATGCTTCCCTTTTCAAGCTAAGTTGTGATCTGAATGGGTCAATAAATTAATGGTTACCCTATTTTTAGAAGATTTACTTTATTGTAAGTAAGGGTAGAAGCAAGGAGGCCAGTTGTTATAATTCAGACAGGAGATGAGAATGCCTTGGAACAGAATGGGGTCAGTAACAGTAGTGGGAAGTCTTCAGATTCTAGGTGTATTTTCATGCTAGTGCTGAGAGAATTTGCTAATGTACGCATGTGAAGTAGAAGACAAAGGGAGGACTTGAGGATAACTCTAAGACTTTTGACCTTAAGCACTGGAAAAGGAAGAATGGGTATAAGTATGTGTAGTGTGTGTGTGTTTATGTACATGTGGGCACATGTATGTTCCTAGGAGAATACTTCTCAATGGGTACTTAATATATCTGTAGTCACCACTCAACTTTTTACTGGAAGGAGAACTTGAAAACAAGACAAATTACCTGTTGAGTAGTTCAAATTTGAAATTGTTATGGGAAGACTAGACTAGAATGCCAAATGCATGTGATGTTAGAGCCTAATGAATGCGTGTTAGATTTAGGGATACTGAAAAGGAGAATTAGGCTTTTGAATCACTGGGGAGAAAGTATTAAGAATTAGTTTTAGAGCTGGGTGTGGTGGCTCACACCTGTAATCTCAGCACATTGGCAGGCCGAAGCAGTCGGATTACTTGAGGTTAGGAGTTCAAGACCAGCATGGCCAATATAGCAAGACCTCATCTCTAGTAAAAATACAAAAATTAGCCAGGCGTGGTGGCACTTGCCTGTAGTCCTAGCTACTCAGGAGGCTGAGGCACTAGAATCACCTGAACCCAGAAGGTGGAGGCGCCAGTGAGCTGAGATCACTGCACTCCAGCCTGGGCAACTGAGAAAGACTCTAAAAAAAAAAAAAAAAAAAAATTAAAAAAACAATTAATTTTAGTTCATAGTGATTTTGGATAAATGGATGGACACATGGGAAATGATCATAAGACTTCCTTGTAGGATGGCAAATAAGTATCAGAAAAAGCCTGAAAATTGGAATTGATGAAAGGGCTTCAGAGGGATAAAACCTTTATCATTCTGTTAGAGATAGTTACCCAGTCAGCTAACAACTATGTTTTAATTGCTCATCTGCCAAGCAGTGTGATAGGCTATATGAAAACAAAGAGTAAGGGAGGTAGAGGAGGAGGCTTACACTTTAATAGGAGGATAAATACCCCTTGCTCCCCAAAATACAATGTAGTGCAAGAATTGCTCGAATGGTCGTACATATAGAAAACAGTAGGAATGTGGATGAAGAGCCCATAAGCCTAATTTTGGTGTCAAGATGACTTTACAGATTAGGGTGAGATCTGAAGGTGAGAAGTTTGTCAGATGGACAACCAGAGGGAATGGCAGGTACAGATATGACCATTTATCACTGGAGTATAAACTTTGAAGCTAAAAGGAGGCAAATAGCAGAAGGTGAGGTTACTTATAAAGTAACCTTATAAAGTTACTTATAAAGAGACTTGTACTCCCACACAATAATAGTGGGAGACTTCAACATCAATATTAGACAGATCAGTGAGACAGAAAGTTACGGACTTGAACTCAGATCCGGAACAAGTGGACTTTATTAACATTTATAGAACTCTTCACTTTAAATACACAAAATATACCCTCTTATCAGTACCACATCACACCTATTTATAGGTTTAAATGAAATATTGGTTGGCTGCATGTTAATTATTTTCTTCCCTCTTTTTTTTTTTTTATGTCTCTATTATTAAACACAATTACAGGCATACCCATTTTTAGACTGCATTCTAGCCGGGGCAATAAAGCAACACCCCTTGTTCTCTCTCCCTCTTCCTCTTCCTCTTTCTTCCTCTCCTCCATTCTTTTTTTTTTTCTTTTCTTTTCTTTTTTTATTCTTTCTCTTTCTTTCTTTCTCTCTTTCTTCCTCTTAAAAAAAAAAAAGAAAAGAAAAGAAATGGAGTACAGTCCTGAGTGCTGGTCACATATTCCTTCCCGGCAATGCCCCTTTAAGTAGAGATGATATAATATGTGTTTCCTCTCCATGTTCCCATTAGGGAACATATCAGGGATTCTCAGACTCAGCACTGTTGACATTTGGGGCTGGATAGTTCTTTGCTGTGGGTGGGGGCTGTCTTGTGCATTGTAGGATATTCAGTAGCATCCCTTTCCTCAACCCACTAGATGCCAGTAGCATTCTCGTCGTTTGTAACAACCTAAAATGTCTCCAGACATTGCCAGATGTCCCTTGGGGGGTGGCAGTAAAATCCCTCTTGGTAGAGAACCACTGCCTTACCTCAGATTGAATGCCTAGTTCAAGTAGTTGTCCCTCAGTAATTTATCTTGGGTGATTTCTGCCACCCTAGTGCAGACCTTCCTCACTGTAGTTATTGCATGCTTTCCTGAAAGTAGTTTGTGTCTGTTTACTCTTCCACTTAGGATGACTAATCATCAGAAAGTTTAGCTGCTCTGTCACTCTGCTCATACATGCAGGAGGTTCCCTTTCTCTACCCTATAATTCCAAACTTCTTGTACAAGTACCCAAAGCCTTTTAGCACCTGGTCCCAACCTCTGACTTAACATCATTTCTCTGCCTTTTTGTATTCTCTTTTCTAGCCAAATTGGACCACCAATTTGGGGGCTCACTAAATGCTCCTGGCCTCCAGTTTTCTCATCCACTTGCTCTTTGTTTATATCGACTGTATCTGCAAAGCCAGCCATTCCCATTCCTAGCTACACTGTGAAATTGATTTTTCCAGCTCAAAGGCCACATTTTCAGTGAAGGCATACTTCCTCAGCTCCTCTCCCATTTTTACTCCAAATCATCTAATGATAGCACTTGTGCATCTTATTTTCCAGCCCTATGTCTATAAATAAGAGGTGTATCTATCTTCTTTGTATTCCTCATATTTCCAAACACCTTGTCTTAGACAAAATAAGTAGTATTTGAATGAGTGTAAGTTATCTTGAAGCAGAATTGTCAGAAACTGTGAAACTTTGTTGTCACACTGTTAAAAATACTTTTCTGAGAGATCAATTTTGATACTGTATAACACTGAAGACTTGCTTTTTTCTCTCTCTAGCCTGCCTATCAGAATCTGAGACAGCGTGTTGACAACTTTGTTGCAAATCATTTGGCAACTCACACATGGAGTCCCCATCTCAATAAGAACCAGCTAAGAAACAACATTAGACAACAAGTCCTCAAGTAAGTCTCAGAAAGAGTCTGGGCAGGTTTTAAAATGTCCTAACCTACTTTGCCTGAAAGCAGAGACATTACGTAGAAGTTTGCTCATCTAATGATGTTGACAATTCTACTAGATTTGGTGTGGCTATTTCGTGTGATGTAGCATAATTTTGGATTTAGGTCTAATTACTTCACATTTCCCTATACATTTTAACAGTCTGATTGTTCCTGTAGACCTTTGAAGGAAGGAAATAACAATATAACTTTGAAAAAATCTAGATATAATGTTAATAGATGATATACACAGTTGCCTTCACAAACCATTTTTCTTGACCCTAAGAGAGCAAGCAGGCTTTATTTTGTTCTTATTTTACAAATAAAGACATTAAAGATTACTGAAATGAAAATATTTTCTCTTGATTTGAGTTCATGTCAACTTTTAATACAGTGCCCCCCTCCCCGCTTTGCATTTTGCAATGACTTTTAACTCTGCTACTATGGATGATATAGCTCCACCACCACCCCCGCCCCCCGCCCAAAGTGTTTGGACCTATCAGAGCCATTCTGAGTGAACATAAGATAATGAGAATTAGAAGAACTGAAATATTTAGAGCATCCTTAGAAAACTAGATTTACAGTCTTCTACTTTTTAGGGGGCAGGGAGAAGGGGAGTCTCACTGTGTTGCCCAGGCCTGAATGCAGTGGCATGATCATAGCTTACTACAGCCTCAACCTCCTGGGCTCAAGCAGTCCTCCCAAGTCATCCTCCTGAGCACCCACATGCCCAGCTTATTGTTGTATTTTTTTGTAGAGACAGGGTCTCATTATGTTGCTCAGGCTGGTCTCCAACTCTAGGCTCAAGGGATCTTCCCTCCTTGGCTTCTCAAAGTTCTGGGATTATAGGCATGGGCCACCTCACCTGGCCACTACTTGTTCTTGAATGTAAATATTTGCAAAGACTAGAGGACCTTCTATCCCTGCTATACCCTCGAAAAGGGTGACTAAGTTATTTAAAGAGCATTCAGTCTCCCTGACAGGACAAGTATTTATGTTTAAGTACATCTTTGAGAATGAAGTATAGCTTTTAAACTGTTAAACAAATCTGTTTTATACCTGCCACCTCTTAATCTCCTTTTGTCCCATAGGAACCTCTCCAAAGCCTCTCTAGTCTGATAGTTTCAACCAACAGGAAGCCCCACAAATCAAAATTCACACCCTGACTGAAAGACAAACCTATTTAGCCACAGGTAATACTAGAAACCAGGAGCCTGGGGCTCAGACAGTATCACCTTGTGCATAAGAAAAGAGGGAAATTAACAATAGCTTTGTTGTTTACATTTTAAAGGATGTGTGAGGAACCTGTAAAAGAGTCCAGGTGAGATCAAAAGATGCCGTTAGAGGGCTGCATAATAATACCTGCTGGGAAAAGGTCAAAGCTGTTTCTAGAAAAAGTAGAAACAAAAGAGATCTGTTGGGTGGCAGGCCTGCTGCCTGTCCTTTCCACAAAGGCCTTCTGAGAACAATGACCAAAATAGCTTAGGACTAGGGGATCAGGGAGTGGAGGTAGGATATAGCACTCCTTCACACACGTTTATACAGAGCTCTACCGATTACGTGGTACTTTCATTCAATGATTTGCATAGCCACCTCTCTGTTCACAAATGATTGCATTGCTTTAAAAGCATATTTTTTTGGGCGTCTGGTATTCGTTTTCTTCATACATTGACAGTCAGATTGAAGGCAAACTTCCTGGTGCATTTACTTTTATAGCATACAAAATCTATAAGGTAAGGAGGCAGTCATTCTGTTCTTTTATGTAAGGGAACTAAACTCAGCCTTACACATGTGAAAATTAAGTACTTAAAATTACTGCGGTACCAGTGAGACATTGTGATCACAAAATCGTTTGGTGAGAGGTAAGGGGTTCTTGTGGCTGCATCAGAGATTAAATACTGGAGCAGTTTACCTTTGAGTAATGAGGACTCTCTTTTTCTGGAGACATTTTGAAAGAGCAAAGGCAGATGCCTTCTCTTGGATTATTTAGGCATTGCTTTTCCTGGGACATTTGTAAATTTTCTTCTAGCTATATTATTTATTTTTATTTTTAAGTGAACTATTTTCATTTCACTTCTGTAACATTTTATGATGCTGATAATAACATTTTAAAGTGATTATTTAGTTGTGTTCAATCTGAAGGTATAGGGATGGACTAGTCCCTATAAATAAATATAATTTCAAACAGTGTTTCATACATATGCTCTAAGACATAATTGACTCAGTTAGATTGAGCTATCTGCGGTTGCCATTTTGTGAGACAAAAATAGTCTAATACCAGCAATTTCAGATGGTTCAACTTAATAGCCGATCTGCTGACTCGGTAGGAGGGAAAATTTTATTCTACTTAAGCTTTTATTTATACAACAAAATCTGAAAATCCTAGATAACTGAATAATGATCTTGGCTAAACAGAATTTAAAAGGAAGACAAGGAAGTAATTTTAAGCAGAAAAGCGCCAGCTGTTGGCATTTTGGCTTTGCCCTTGACCTGGTGCTGCAGCTCCTCCCCACTTGGGTGAGGCAGTTATGGCCCCTACGTGCAGTATGATAATTAGTAGTGGACTCCATTTTTCTGTAAGATCGGAGCTGACCTCTGTGTGAGAAAGGACTAAAGTAGAAGTATTTTGTTTGTTTGCAGGACAAGAGGCTAGAATATAGGCAAACAGAAAGAGACTGAAGCAATAATTTGGGAGTGGCTAGTTTAATTTTTGTGTGTGTGTATCTTATTGTACCTTCAAACCTTTTTAAGATTGCTTTTTTAAATATCTTTTCTACCCATTACATTTTAAATACACCTCTAAGATGTAACAATATTTGCAGGATTTGCATTTTTTTTTTTTAAATCTTAGAACTTTAAAAAGCAGGTAACCTACTTTGTGCTGAGTTGGCTCATTTTTCTCTTTGGCCCACATAAGTAGAACTGTAGTTTCGCAAGGCGACAGGGTGCCTCCAGAAATGAAAATCTGTTCCATCCCGCACTCCAGATGGAGCTACACTCAGAAATAGCGTTAGTAAAGTGTAAGGAAAGATGGCTTCTCACCCATTCCATAGAGAGAAACTGAGGCTTAGAAGCTAGAAGTGACCAGCACTTTGATCTTCCAGCACTCTCCTGGGTATTTTGACTCCTCCACTTCTTTTTTTTAGGAAGAAACAAGATTTAATTGTGTTTCTTAAAATAAATTCATGTCCTCGTGTTTTACTCAGATGCCTTTGTGTGGAAGCACATGTCACAGATTGTTGTCCTCATCACTCTTTTGTCTCTTGTATATGATATTTCGTCAACTCCGTGTATCTTCCTTCCCCTTCTCTTCTGTAGATATCAAGACTCGACTCAAATGTCTTTTCCTTCATAAAGCACTCCTTAATTATCTTGGACATATCTAATAATTTCTTATTCCTCCCTTTTCCTACAGTGCATTATGTATACTAGTGCCTGTCAGCTCATGTCTTAATTGTTTGTGTCTGCCTCCCCAACCAGAACAGGACCAGGTCTAATTTGTAGCCATGCAGTGGCCGCCATAGTGCCTGTTACATAGAAGACACTTTTATAACATAATTGTTGAATGAATAAATCATGCAGTTTTTATAGCAGGAAGATAATAAAAAGAAGGCCAGAAGTCTTGTTTTTCTAATTTTTTTCCTCTGAAGTTTTTCTTCTTTTATTTTGTAATTTGATGAAATTATCCTTTGTGTGTGTTCTTTGTTTTTTTCTGGGGACTCTAATGCTTATAAAAAGCTTACTTTTTTAAAAAAAAAAAGTTGTGGAGTCCATAGGTTTATTTTATACCCAGAACTCAGCTTTTTAGTGAGCATATTCCTGTATGCCATGAGCAGAGTAGGGGTGAGATAAGCATCACCTGTATACTGGATCCTGGGTGGTGTACTGTGTCTAGTTCTAAGGGTGTTCTGTTTCATCTGTTTCAGCATTTCCACTAGTGACACAGTGGTAAAAAAGTTTACAGACTTTTATATTATGGTATATCTAAATGCCGCTATAGCATGAAACTTACTTTCCATTGTCTATGTATATCCAAGTAAATGGATTAAGACAATTTAAGGATGGATGGATGGATGGGTAGACAGACAGACAGGTGGATAATAGATAGATACATAGATAGATAGATAGATAGATAGATAGATAGATAGAGTTTTATTTTAAAGTAATCAATGCAAATAATACAATATTATTGCTTTACCTTTCCATAAATTATCTTGTGTTGCAGATCAGGAATGTTGGAGTCTGGTATTGACCGAATTATTTCTCAGGTTGTGGATCCAAAGATCAACCACACATTCAGACCTCAGGTGGAGAAAGCTGTGCATGAGTTTTTGGCCACACTAAATCACAAAGAGGAAGCAAGTGGCAACACAGCTCCTGATGATGAGAAACCAGACTCTTCCCTTATTACACAAGGTGCTTTGCTTTTACTCTTAGTCAGTTCCATTGTTTTTCTTCTTGAACTGAATATCAAGCTAGGGATATTTGGTTCTTTAAAATATTTCTTTATTTGGCTATTCCAGTGAAACTGTACTTACTTTAAATATCACCTAAACTCCTTAATTGCCATAACATTTCCTTGTTTAGATTAATAAAAATAGTAAGCATTTTATTAATAGAGTGTGTGTGAGTGAGCATAATAGAAGGAATATCTAAAATACTTAGAGAAAATAGTCTTTTGCTAGGAAATAGACAATTCTCAGATTTGCATGGTGCCCTTCCTAAAATAGCATATTAGAGAGGTAGATAATTCAGAATATGGTATATACTATTACTGGTACCTGAAACTTTAAAAGAATACACGGATGGTCTGCACAGCATATGCATCATATAAAGATGACAATGGATAGGGTATTGATGCAGGAGAGGTATTTTCCTTCTGATTAAATTTATTCTAAAGCATCTCTTTTCCTTTAAGGTGTTCCTGCTCCTGGGCCCAGTGCTAATGTAGCCAATGATGCCATGTCGATTTTGGAAACCATAACTTCTCTTAACCAAGAAGCCAGTGCTGCTAGGGCTTCAACAGAAACATCAAATGCCAAGACCAGTGAGAGAGCATCAAAAAAACTTCCATCTCAGCCAACCACTGATGCTAGTACTGACAAAGAAAGAACTTCAGAGGACATGACTGATAAAGAAAAATCTACAACTGACTCTGGAGGTGAAGGACTGGAAACAGCCCTGAAGCCTGAAGAGTTTAGCGACCTCCCCTGTCCAGTTGAAGAAATTAAAAATTACACAAAAGAACATAATAATTTAATTCTGCTAAATAAGGATATTCAACAGGAAAGCAGTGAGCAAAAAAATAAATCAACAGACAAAGGTGAAAAGAAGCCAGACAGCAATGAGAAAGAAAGAAAGAAGGAAAAGAAGGAAAAGACTGAAAAGAAATTTGATCACTCAAGAAAGAGTGAAGATATACAAAAAGTTAAAGATGAAAAACAAGCAAAGGAAAAAGAAATAGAGAGCTTAAAACTTCCTTCAGAAAAGAACAGTAATAAAGCTAAAACCGTTGAAGGGACCAAAGAAGGTATATAAAAACTTGCAAACATCTACAAAGTTTAAGGAACAAAGAGTATCTATTTTGGGATCAGGGAAGCATCAAATTTGCCTTCACATTTTAATAAGTTTATTTAATACTTGTATTTCAAAACATTGGAAACTTACATCCCCTTTGCTTACGGAGAAAAGCAATAAACATTTGTGTTTTTCTTTTCTACACTAATATATCTGTTGACAGAGTAAATTAACAGAGAAAGTAGGAATTTATAATGTCATATAATTTATTCACATACATTATTTTAAGCAACTTAATTCATAGTTGCATGTCCTAATCTTTAAAATATTGGGTAGTAAATACTTCAGTTACTTAAAATTCATTTTTTATTATACATTGTAAATTAATATTTTAGTTATTTTTACAGAAGTCTACTTTGCCTTTGTATTTTCTGTAAACCATTCTGCCTTATTTGATAGTTTGACATATACTTAAAGCAGAAAATTTTAAATGTAATTTAGTAATTGAGCTCTGAGTATGTTCTCATAATAAGGTGATTTTTTTCTGTATTTTGTTTTCCTCTTGAAGATTTCTCTTTGATAGACTCTGATATGGATGGACTTACAGACATCACTGTTAGCTCTGTCCATACCAGTGACCTTTCATCTTTTGAAGAAGATACTGAGGAGGAAGTTGTAATGTCTGATAGCATGGAAGAAGGAGAGATTACGTCAGATGGTAAAGCATTTTACTTAATAATGCTTCTGAAACATCCTGTTGAGCATTATTTGTGTATTCTGATGCCTATATCCTGAAAGACAGTGTGGTGTAGTAGCAAGAACATGGGACTTTGTAGTTGGAAGATTTGTTTCTGAGTCCCAGCTGCAAAATTTTATGTCTGAGCAAGCTTGGTAAGTTACTAAATCTCAACAACCCTTGGTTCTTCATTCCTTAACTTTATTCCCTGGTATAATTATTAATTTAAATTTTAGAGGAGGTAATATTTATGAAGATGCTTTTTATTTGTGTGTGTCACATTTGGAGGCATCATATTCCACAACACTGCCCTCAATTATGGTACCAGTTGCAAGTTCAGGGTTCCCCAAGACCACCTTTAGATTTGATAATTTGCTAGACGGTCTCATAGAACTTACTGGAAGGTGGTATACTCAGTTATGGTTGACTGCAGTTAAGGTACTCATATTAAAATCAGCCAAAGGAAGAGGCATATAGGGCAGAGTCCAGGAAAGTTTCAAACAGTAGCTTCCAACTGTCCCCCTTGAGTTACTTCCTCTGCATTGATGTCTGACAGCATACGCAGAATATTGCCAACCAGGGAAGTTCACCAGAGCATTGGAATCCAAACTTCTTACCAAGGCTCCAGCATGTAGTCAGAGTTGGCTGCCCACCTGGCTGATCTGTCTCTACCCCCTCTAGAGGTCAAGCTCATACATACTCCATGACCCAACGCTTCTGACCTTAAATCATATTGTTAGACTATTTAGCTTGACTCAAGAGCCTTTAGCACTCTGAAACACTGCAGTCGGGCATGCATTCCAGAGGCTTGTAGATTACCTCCCAGAAGCTAATACTAAAGGCCAGACCTCTCTGGACAAGACTGAATTCTTTATAATACAATTTGTTTTTCAGAAAACCGCCCCTGAGCACTTCCTATCTTCTAGGCACTGCTAAGGACATTCCATGTAATAACTACTGTAGTCCTCAGAACAACCCCAGGAAGTCGATACAGGAGGGGAAACAAAGTCACAGAGAGACCGTATCTTGTCCAGTCATGCACCTCATGAGCACCAGTGCAGATTTCAAACCCGAGTCTATGTGTCTTACCAATATCTTATGCTGCTCTTTACCACATGATTAAATTCTGTTTATGACTATTAATTTAGGAGTAATAAAAATACTGAGTTTTAATTGTAATTGCCTGTAGACAGCATCTTATAAATTTGTGGCCAGCTTTCAGATAGGGTACCTAGAGAAAATAGTAGAAGAGAAAAAGTAGCAGCTTTTAATACTGTAGATGTATTCTGCAGTCCTTCTCATTTTTTTTCTTTATTTTCTTCAATTTTTTTACTAAAAAACGTAGCAGCAGCACTTCCTAATTGTCATATCTGTCCTCATGAGGTCAGTTCTGTATTACCTGTTTAGGAAGAGTGCTCCCCATCCTGTGAACACTCCACTTTCTCTACCCTAACTAAAATTAATTATTGATGCCTTTTTGGGTCTTCTGAAGTTTTTTTCCTGGATAAGACCAGATTTTATATGTATGGGATTTAAAAAGTTAGAAGAAGGTGGTTATTTTAAGAGTACTATGTGGTAGGAAATGAAAACCTTGTTTACTTTTTTTTCTTGATCTGTTGAAGCGAAACAAATTACCTTTCCATTATTGATTCCCACCTCTTCCCTAAATGAGAAATTTAGAGGTGGTCATTAAAATCTCAAGTTTACTTTAAAGTACAGCTTCCAGTGGATTTGTTCAACCTAGCAATGATAAAGCTTCTTATCAAGTCCAGTGACAAATAAGAATTATTTGTCAAGAGAACACTGAAGGGTAGTGGAGGCTGTTAGGCTGAGATAGCTCCAGTGCCTTGGGTTCCTGCATAGGCAGATTGAAGCCCAGTCTAAACAGTAAAACAAAATTTAAGCTTAGCTCGTCAGAAATCACCAATTAACCTCTAACTAGGGACTTTCCACCAGATCTTAAGGCAAATAAGGCACACACCTAGCTGTAGCCAGTCAGTCACGTATTTCCTCTGCTTTTATGTTCAGCCTGTAAAAGCCCTCTGCTTGTGCTGCCAAAGTAGAGCTCTCAGACCTCTCCTGATTCTGTGTGATGCCAGATTCATGGATTATTCTTTGCTCCAAAAAACTGTTAAATTTAATTTGTCTGAAGTTTTTCGTTTAACAGCGTAAGTAACTATGTCTAATTTTTCCTTGTCTCATTTATGTGTGAGAAGCTGATAAGATATAAAAATATGAATTATAGCTTTTGAAAAAGTCAGTTTCTGAAATGTTCACATCCTGATATTTCCCCTTTTGGACCTCCTATTGATCTTGCCTACGCTCCTTGTACAGCATCATGTTGATTTTATGCTCATTCACAGACATACTCCTCTTTATATTAACTTTCTTACAGATGAAGAGAACAACAAACAGAATAAAACAAAAACTCAAACTAGTGATTCTAGTGAAGGAAAAACAAAAAGTGTACGGCATGCTTATGTACATAAGCCATATCTTTACTCCAAGTACTATAGTGATTCTGATGATGAGCTTACTGTGGAACAACGACGACAGTCTATTGTAAGTCCCCTTTGTTCTGCTGTTTTAACCTAGTCTGTGTGTGGGGTGCTGGTGTGCATGTAAAGCAGAGAGATACAGGCTTTGCCTTCAGGAACCTTGTCATTTAGCTAGGTAGAGTAGATAAAACATGTGACAGAGATGTTTGTGTCATTATTACTAATAAAAGTGAATATCCCTTATCCAAAATGGGTAGAACCAGAGGTGTTTCAAATTTTGGATTTTTTCACAATTTGGGATATTTGCATATACGTAGTGAAAAGTCTTAGGGATGGAACGCAAGTCTAAACATGAAATTCATTTGTGTTTTTTATATACCTATGCACATAGCCTGAAGATTATTCTCTACAATGTTTTTAATAATTTGGTGCATGGAACAAAGTTTTGACCACATTTTGACTGCCACTAGTCACCTGAAGTCAGGTGTGGAATTTTCCACCTGTGACAGATGTCAGTGCTCAAAGAGTTCAGATTTTCAGATGAGGGCTGGTCAACCTGTAGTAGTGAAACTGGTAACAACCTAAATATTTCACATATGGAAATGTTTGAATCCAGTGTAGATCCAGTCATGCGAAGATAAGGTATGCAGCTATTAACATGCAATTGAGATGGACATGCTATCCACCTATTTCTTGGATTCAAAAATATTTCCAATTATAAAATATACCCCTGAATTAATAACAGCTTTTTAAAGAAAATTACTACCGTGTTGTTACATATGTATGTTAGTTTTAAGATAGCTTACAATTTCAGAAACATTAAAATATGAAAAGTTGTAAAATATGAAAAGTTCAGAACCAGAAAATCTTGTTACATAGGAAAATGATTTCAAGAAACTACCTCAAAATGCTAGTAGTAGTGACTTGCCTTCCCTCCAGGCTTATCTCTTGAAAAAGTTACATGGTTAGAAGTTATGTACCTGCTTAGATTTTTGGCACTCCAGGCCAGAAAAGGGTAGTGGGAGTAGACAATGATTGTGAATTCTTTCTGCTTTAAAAGACAACAGCTGCAAGTTCCAAGTCCAAAGCTTGGCTCCCAAGAGTATAACCAGCAAGTCATATGTGTTGTAGAACTAGCTATCACTTTAATCTTTATTTAAACTGTTTTCTATAAGAATAGTTGAAAAGACCTTATATACTTGATGTTCATAGATATTTTCACAGCTATCTTTTTAATAGAAACAACCAGTTTATTTAATCACTTTTTCCCAAAGCAATACCTTTACCATCCTTTAAACTAATGACATTCTTTTAGAGTAATGGCCCATTTTAACATCTGTTTCTTTTATTCTGGTAGCTTCCAGATTGAAACATACACATACATACGTGTGTATACACACAGATAAATGTGTGTATATATATGTAGTGTTTGCGTACTTTTTCAGAGCCCATTAATTTGTAAGCATATCTGAAGGGTATACTAAAACTTTTAAAAAAATACAGTTTTTCAGCATGTTTTGCCTTTGCCTAATAATCTGTTAGGATATTTTGTGATTTTAGGCTAAAGAAAAAGAGGAGAGGCTTTTAAGAAGGCAAATTAATAGAGAGAAACTTGAAGAAAAACGAAAACAGAAAGCAGAAAAGACAAAGTGTTCAAAAACCAAGAGTCAAGGTATAGATGTTAACTTTTAATAAACTGTCTTTTATATTTCATTATTTTCCAGGTACTCTCATATTACTTATGAGATCTAAATATAAGATAAAATGATCTGTTCTCAAATGTTGAAAATTTCCTTATATTTTAATCTCGTGATTAATCATCTTAATTATATTGCTAAATCTAAATTAAACCTTTTACCAGATACCAGCTTATGCAACTCATTTGTTAGCAGTTTATTTTTCCATAATGATTGAATTATCACTGGAAGTTAGATTGTTAACATATGAGTAATCAAGCCTTGCTGGTCATTAATGAAATTAATCTATGCTTATGTTAACTAAAATGTCAAACATTTACCTGGAATATTACCTTGAACAAAATTGTATTCCCTCTAGGCACCAATCCAATGTAATAAGCGAATTCAAATTCACACGTACAGGCACTTATGTGATTATTTGAAATAGGAAAGATAAGACTTCTTCATCCATAATACTATGTCTATTCCAGCACAACTTAAGAATATTAAAGCCAAACTTTAACAATAATTAGAAAAATCTTAATGAAAAGTAAATATTACTCTGTTTATAAAACTCTTTTCTGAAATACATTTTATTGATTACTTCTTTTCTAGGCAAGAGTAGTGTGGACTTAGAAGAGTCATCAACTAAGAGTTTGGAACCCAAAGCCCCCAGAATTAAAGAAGTCCTTAAAGAACGGAAAGTTTTAGAGAAAAAAGTAGCCCTAAGCAAAAAGAGAAAAAAAGATTCAAGGTACATATTTTACATATTTTATCTGGTCATGTTTCCCTTATAACACACCCCTGGGGTGCTTTCAGAAGAGAGGCATTGAAGTGTCGGTAAAGAGTTGTACTTTAGATGTGTATGTTACTGCATGTTTATGGAGGACCTTAGGGTTTCATCTTTAGTATCATAATGTTAATATCTGTAACATTTCTCAGTAGTGTATCTTAATCTTTTTGGGGGGGGTCCCAGATGTTTTTGATAATTTGATGAGAGCTTTAGACCCTCTCCCCTGAAAAATGTACATATATAATCTAACAATTACCCCTAGAGTTTCAGAGTTTATGGATCCTCTAGAAGTTCTCTGGAAGTATTCTTCTTGTTGGTGTTCGGTAACCACTTATTTACAATTATTATTTCCAGTCTTTGCATGCAGTTATTTTTACCAGTATTCCGTCATTCTCCCCCAATCCAGAATCTGAGCCAGATTCCTTGTTAACACTACATTATCATTGTTAACTTTTTAAGAGTTAGAAAGCTAAAGAGACTCTTGAGGGTAGCTGTGAAGTCATGTGAGCCATGGGCTACAATTTTGCTACTCCATCAAGCTGTATTTATGTAAATTTATCACAGACTTCAAGATACCTGAATTGATAATTTGTAGAACTTGGTAAGAGTAGTAAGCTCTCAGATTTCTTACCGTTACTACATCTCATCCTTATTGATCTGAATACATAAGACTGCCCTGTTTACTCAAAAGGTAGTAATTTCAAAGTATAATTATAGCCCCTAAAACATTCATCTTTAAGCAACAAATTAGCAATTTTTGTTTTAGCTGTACTTTCCTTTAGCACCAAGAACAGTTCATGCCATATTTGGGATTGTGCTCTCCTTTGTTGACTAAGAATTGATAGGATTTAAATTGAAATATAACAAGTCTCCATTTGTGGATCAAGTGTATAAATTATAGGAAAAGGCTGGACATGGTGGCTCAAGCTTTTAATCCCAGCACTTTGGGAGGCAGAGGCAGGTAGATCACATGAGGTCAGGAGTTCAAGACCAGCCTGACCAACATGTTGAAACCCTGTGTCTACTAAAAATATAAAATTAGCCAAGTGTGGTGGCGCATGCCTGTAATCCAGCTACTTGGGAGGCTGAGGCAGGAGAATTACTTGAACTCAGAAGCGGAGATTGCAGTGAGGCAAGATCGTGCCATTGCACTCCATCCTGGGCAGCAAGAGCAAGACTCTGCTCAAAAAAATAATAATAATAAAATCAACAAAAATTATAGTAAAGGAAAGCTTTTTTACTTTTTTCAACCTTCCTGAAAAATTTTTACATTTGACTCACACTTTATATTTGACTCTTTCCCCTTAGGAATGTTGAAGAGAGCTCCAAAAAGAAACAGCAATCTGAAGAAGATTCCAAAGAAACCCTTAAAACAAGTGAGGTATGTCTTAATAAAACCTCGTTTCAAATGCTCTTTGTTAGATATAGACTGTTTAGTCCTTTAGAGTAAAACTTAGAATGTAATTTGACTTTTTTCAAGCAAAATAAAAAATCACTTACATTCACCATTTTGAAATCCCATTTTGTTATGTCCCAAATTCCCCATTTTGTTGAGTTGATTTATATATTTACTTTTATCTAGGTTATAGCTACTTTTCTTCTCTTTTCCCATTTCTCACAATTGCAGTAACAAAATTGCCAGTAATAACAAAAAAGGAAAAAGGGAGGATAAAGTTAAAATCTAAAATCCCTCCACTATAACAGATTATCCATTTTATTCCCCTTTATTCCTTGTCCACAGGTCCACATAATTTTTTAGACTAGAAGTAACCTGGCAAACTGTTTTTAACATTTTACTCATTTTATGTTACCTTTTAGGCTTCCTAATTATTTAATGATTGTGTAATGTTACATTTAACAGGTATACCATAATTTATTTAAGCATGTGCCTATATTTTAGCACTTAGGTTGTTTCCAAGATTTGATCATTTTAAACAGTAAAAATGATGTATAATGTTTTCTTCCCTGTTCAGGATTATTTTCGTGAGACAAACTTTTGCTTTCACTGGTTTAAAATTCTTCTTTACAAAGCCACATTACCTATAGTTCTGTAGCTAAAATATCTTAATATTTCCAGAGGGAAAAAGCAGTAATTTAATGATTATTTGTTCATTATTAGCAAACGTAAATTTAATTTATTTATTCAGAAATTAAAGGCTTATTTAGAAGTAGATAGTGATGGTTTAATGACATATATTTAATATGTTTAACTTTTATGATAAATTTCTATAAGAAATTATCTCATAAAATTGTATTCACATTGTTTAGAATTAGTTTTTGATTGCAAAATTAGGTTGAGGCAAACTCTTGTTAGTTCTTTGAGGAATTTAATTTTAGGCTATTTATGAAGGTCTTGTTATGTAATGGACTCTATTATTAGTAGAAGTACATTAATCTTTGTGTTGGAATTTAAGGAGATGCAGTGTTAAACTGACTTAGAGACACAAAGGTCTGTCTAAGAACTTTGGCCCATTATTTGCCTAAGAATAATTATAGCTAGTAGTCAGTGAGTCTTTATTGAAGTGAATTTAGTCAACATCCACTCATTAATATTAATCATCCACTTAGTGCCAAATCACAGGGCAGGGAGGAAGGTTTAGATGCTATTGTCTCTCAGTATCCTTCCTTGAATACATAAACATATACATATGTTATATATGATATGGTTACTGTAAGTTATTGTGTACATTTGAAGCTTCATGTGTAGAATGTTGTACAAGTAGCCTAAATCCATGAGGTTGCCATACATAATTCAGGTTTCTAAATTAAAATATAGGAAATGTATATTTCAGCATACAGTTTTTAAATTGCCTTCATGTATTATGTTTTATAATGGAAAGACCATTGGACTGTCATTTATTCAGCTTATATTTATTATCAAGTACTGTGTGTTAGTGAGCTCTAGTGATGCAGAATTGAAGAATGAATGTATAGACAAATCAGTGCCTGTAATATACTGGAAGGAGTATTAGACTTGGAATGAAATAATCTAAACTAATTTCTAACACACCTACTGTGGCCTGGGTGTAAAGTTACGGAATCATGCTGAGCTTCAATTTCCTGATGTTTTAATGGCATATTTTTGAGTATTTAACTCTATTTTATGATAAATCTCTATGAGAAATAATCTAATAAAATTGTGTTCATATTGTTTAGAATTTTTTTTATTGTAAAATGTGGTCGATGCAAACTCCTGTTAGTTTATTGAGGAATTTAACTGTTTAAAATCAACTCAACAATGCCTATTTTTTAAATCAGGGAAGGTTTTGACGCCTACACAGACTGCTTGCATGAATTAAGTGAGATGTTACATATGTGACAGCACTTAACATATTAAGTACACCCAAATGTTACATTTGAATCTAAAAATTGATTTTGGTATTTCTCATATTTTAACCTTTGTTTCCTCCAGCATTGTGAAAAGGAAAAGATGTCTTCTTCAAAGGAGCTGAAGCATGTTCATGCAAAAAGTGAACCAAGTAAACCTGCCCGGAGACTTTCAGAGTCTTTGCATGTAGTTGATGAAAACAAAAATGAATCCAAAATAGAAAGAGAACATAAAAGACGGACATCTACCCCTGTTGTGATGGAGGGGGCACAGGAAGAGACTGACACAAGAGATGTAAAAAGGCAAGTAGAACGCTCAGAAATTTGCACCGAAGAGCCCCAGAAACAGAAAAGCACACTTAAAAATGAAAAGCATCTAAAGAAAGATGATTCTGAAATACCACATTTGAAAAGCCTGCTTAAGAAAGAGGTGAAATCCTCCAAGGAGAAGACTGAAAGAGAGAAAACTCCATCAGAAGACAAATTGTCTATGAAACATAAATATAAAGGTGATTGTATGCATAAAACAGGTGATGAGACTGAACTTCACTCTTCTGAGAAAGGTTTAAAAGCAGAGGAAAATAATCAGAAGCAAAGTCAACAAACAAAGCTTTCTTCAGATGATAAAGCCGAACGAAAAAGTAAACATAGGAATGAAAGGAAATTATCAGTATTAGGCAAAGATGGAAAACCAGTTTCTGAATATATTATAAAAACAGATGAGAATGTTCGCAAAGAAAACAACAAAAAAGAGAGACGCTTGTCAGCTGAAAAAACTAAGGCAGAGCACAAGTCCAGAAGATCAAGTGATTCTAAAATTCAGAAAGATTCTCTGAGTTCCAAGCAACATGGTGTTACATTACAAAGAAGAAGTGAAAGTTATTCAGAAGATAAGTGTGATATGGACTCTACTAACATGGATAGTAACTTGAAACCAGAAGAGGTTGTTCACAAGGAGAAACGACGAACAAAGAGCTTGTTAGAGGAGAAACTTACGTTGAAGTCTAAATCAAAAAGTCAAGGCAAACAGTTAAAAGTTGTAGAAACAGAATTACAAGAAGGTGTCACAAAACAGTCAGCCACTCCAAAACCAGACAAGGAGAAGAACACAGAAGAGAATGACTCAGAAAAACAGCGAAAGTCTAAAGTTGAAGACAAACCTTTTGAAGAAACTGGTGTTGAACCTATGTTAGAGACTGCTTCTTCTTCAGCACATAGTACACAGAAAGATTCTAGTCATAGAGCCAGGTTACCATTAGGAAAGGAGAAATATAAGAGTGATAAAGACTCCACTTCCACCAGGCTTGAGAGAAAGTTGTCAGATGGACACAAAAGCAGAAGCTTGAAGCATAGTAGTAAAGACATAAAAAAGAAGGAAGAAAATAAATCAGATGACAAGGATAGTAAAGAAGTTGACAGTAATCATGAAAAGGCCAGAGGTAATAGTTCAGCCATGGAAAAGAAATTAAGTAAAAGGTTGTGTGAAAACCGTAGGGGGAGCTTATCACAAGAAATGACCAAAGGAGAAGAAAAATTAGCAGCAAATACTTTGAGCACTCCCAGCAGCTCTTCCCTTCAGAGACCAAAAAAGAGTGGTGATACGACATTGATCCCTGAACAAGAGCCAATGGAAATTGATTCTGAGCCAGGCATTGAAAATGTGTTTGAAGTATCTAAAACCCAAGACAACAGCAATGATAATTCTCAGCAAGACATTGACTCTGAAAATATGAAACAAAAAATGGTTGCCACAGTTTTAAAGGATGAATTAAGAACTTGCACAGCAGATTCAAAAACAACAGCTCCAGCTTGTAAGTCAGGCCGAGGAACAGGAGTTAATAGTAATTCTGAAAAGCATTTCGACCACAGAAGTAGCCTGACCAAGAAAATGCATTTCCAGAGTGCTGTGTCCAAACTGAATCCTGGGGAGAAAGAACCCATTCATAGAGGAACTGATGACGTGAATATAGATTATGAAACTGTTCACAGAGTGTTACCAAGTGTCCCATCAGAAAATGACAGGGTACAGAATAATTTGAAAAACACAGCCAAACCCACTGAAGAATGTGTTGCTCAAGGAGATGTTGTTCCTGAACATTCCGCAAATTTAGACTCTTCTCCATCCTTAAGTTCAGTGACTGTTGTGCCTCTGAGAGAATCTTGTGATCCTGATGTAATTCCCCTCTTTGACAAAAGAACTGTTTTAGAAGGTGGCACAGCCAGCACTTCCCCTGTGGATCACTCTGCTCTCCCTAACCAAAGTCTGACTGTTAAGGAATCAGAAGTCCTTAAGACAAGTGACAGCAAAGAAGGTGTTGACAGTTTCACAGTAGATACACCAGCGAAAGCAAGCATCTCTAGCAAAAGACACATTCCAGAAGGTCACCAGGCTACTTTATTGGATGGTAAACAAGGAAAGATAATCATGCCTCTTGGAAGCAAGTTAATGGGCATGATTGTGGAAAATGAGAATGTTACCAAAGAAGATGGCTTAGTAGACGTGGCCAAGAAAGAAAGTGACTTAAATGCAGAGCCCAATTTAAAGCAGACAGTTAAAGCAACAGTAGAGAATGACAAGAAGGATGGCAGTGCTGTTGATCATCCTGTAGGCATAAGTACAGAAAAATATGCTGAAACTGTCAAACTTAAGCATAAAAGAGGCCTAGGCAAAGTAAAAGACATATCTATTGATGTTGAAAGAAGGAATGAGAACAGTGAGGTAGACACCAGTGCTGGAAGTGGCTCTGCACCCCCCGTTTTACAGCAAAGGAATGGACAAACTGAGGATGTGGCAACTGGACCTGGGAGAGCAGAAAAGACTTCCATTGCCACTAGTACAGAAGGGAAGAACAAAGATGTCACCTTAAGTCCAGTGAAGGCTGGGGCTGCCACAACCACTTCTTTGGAAACAAGAGAGAATGAAGTGGCTTTGCCCTGCACCAGCATTGAGGCAGACGAAGGCCTCATAATAGGAATACATTCCAGAAATAATCCTCCTCGTGTTGGTGCAGAAGCCAGTGAGTGCACTGTTTTTGCTGCAGCCGAAGAAGGTGGGGCTGTTGTCACAGCAGGATTTGCTGAAAGTGAAACCTTCCTCACAAGCACTAAGGAAGGAGATAGTGGGGAGTGCGCTGTGGCTGAGTCTGAGGACAGAGCAGCAGACCTACTGGCTATTCATGCAGTTAAAATCGAAGCCAATGTAAATAGCGTTGTGACAGAGGAAAAGGATGATGCTGTAACCAGTGCAGGCTCTGAAGAAAAATGTGATGGTTCTTCAAGTAGAGACTCAGAAATTGTTGAAGGAACTATTACTTTTATTAGTGAAGTTGAAAGTGATGGAGCAGTTACAAGTGCTGGGACAGAAATAAGAGCAGGATCTATAAGCAGTGAAGAGGTGGATGGCTCCCAGGGAAATATGATGAGAATGGGTCCCAAAAAAGAAACAGAGGGCACTGTGACATGTACAGGAGCAGAAGGCAGAAGTGATAACTTTGTGATCTGCTCAGTAACAGGAGCAGAGTCCCAGGGGGAACACATGGTTACAGGTGCAGGTGTTGTCCTGGTAGATAATGATGCACCACCAGGAACAAGCGTCAGCCAAGAAGGAGATGGTTCTGTGAATGATGGTACAGAAGGCGAGAGTGCAGTTACCAGCACGGGGATAACAGAAGATGGAGAAGGGCCAGCAAGTTGCACAGGTTCAGAAGATAGCAGCGAAGGCTTTGCTATGAGTTCTGAATCAGAAGAAAATGGAGAGATTGCAATGGACAGCACAGTAGCCAAAGAATGCACTAATGTACCATTAGTTGCTGCTGGTCCTTGTGATGATGAAGGCATTGTGACTAGCACAGGTGCAAAAGAGGAAGATGAGGAAGGGGAGGGTGTTGTGACTAGTACTGGAAGAGGAAATGAAATTGGGCATGCTTCAACTTGCACAGGGATAGAAGAAAGTGAAGGAGTATTGATTTATGAAAGTGTAGAAGGGGACAGTCAGATTGGTACTGTGGTAGAGCATGTGGAAGCTGAGGCTGGAGCTGCCATCATGAATGCAAATGAAAATAATGTTGACAGCATGAGTGGTACAGAGAAAGAAAGTAAAGACACAGATATCTGCTCCAGTGCAAAAGGCATTGTGGAAAGCAGTGTGACCAGTGCAGTCTCTGGAAAGGATGAAGTGACACCAATTCCAGGAGGTTGTGAGGGACCTATGACTAGTGCTGCCTCTGATCAGAGTGACAGTCAGCTTGAAAAAGTTGAAGATATCACTATTTCCACTGGCCTGGTGGGGGGTAGTTATGATGTTCTTGTATCTGGTGAAGTCCCAGAATGTGAAGTTGCTCACACATCACCAAGTGAAAAAGAAGATGAGGGCATCATCACCTCTGTAGAAAATGAAGAGTGTGATGGCCTTATGGCGACTACAGCCAGTGATGATATTACCAACCAAAATAGCGTAGCTGGGGGTAAAAGTCAAGGTAAAGGCTTAATGATTTCCACCAGTACCACAAATGATTACACCCCTCACATAAGCGCCATTATAGATGTAGAAGGAGGTCACTCGACTGCTCTGAGAACTGAAGAAAATATGGAAGGTACCAGAGTAAGCACAGAAGAATTTGAGGCCCCCATGCCCAGTGCAGTCTCAGGAGGTGACAGCCAGCTCACTGCCAGCAGAAAAGAAGAGAAAGATGAGTGTGCCATGATTTCCACAAGCATAAGGGAAGAGTTTGAAGTGCCTATCTCTAGTGCAACGACCATGAAGTGTGCTGAAAGTCTGCAGCCAGTTACTGCCGCAATGGAAGAAAGGACTACAGGTCCAGTCTTGATAAGCACCGCCGACTTTGAGGGGCCTATGCCCAGTGCACCCCCAGAAGCTGAAAGTCCTCTTGCCTCCACCAGCAAAGAGGAAAAGGATGAATGTGCTCTCATTTCCACTAGCATAGCAGAAGAGTGTGAGGCTTCTGTTTCCAGTGTGGTTGTTGAAAGTGAAAATGAGCGAGCTGGTACAGTCATGGAAGAAAAAGACGGGAGTGCTATCATCTCTACGAGCTCGGTGGAAGACTGTGAGGGCCCAGTGTCCAGTGCTGTCCCTCAGGAGGAAGGCCACCCCTCAGTCACACCAGCAGAAGAGATGGGTGACACTGCCATGATTTCCACAAGCACCTCTGAAGGGCGTGAAGCAGTCATGATTGGTGCTGTACTCCAGGATGAAGATCAGCTCACCATCACAAGAGTGGAAGACTTGAGTGATGCTGCCATCATCTCCACCAGCACAGCAGAATGTGTGCCAATTTCTGCCAGCATCAGCAGACATGAAGAGAATCAGCCAACTGCAGACAACCCAGAAGGAAACAGTGACTTGTCAGCCACAAAAGTGAGCAAGCACAAGGTCCCCATGCCCAGCCTAATTGCTGAGAATGACTGCCAGTGTCCTGGGCCATTCAAGGGAGGCAAAGAACTGGGTCCCATGATGGCAGTGAGCACTGAGCAGAGGCAAAATGGGCTATCAGTCCAAACCCCTTCTGCAGGGCAAGGCCATCCAAGCACTGTTTGTGCAGAAGGAGAAGAGAAGCATGGCAAGGAGTGCCCTGAAATAGGACCATTTGCAGGAAGAGAGCAGAAAGAGAGCACTTTACACCTCATAAATGCAGAAGAGAAGAATGTATTGTTGAACTTGGTTACAGAGACAGCAGCAGGCAGCAGCACAGCAAGTTGTTCAGCAGGTAGGGGCTTACAAGGGAGTGCTAACTCACCTGCCCACCCAAGAGGCACGGAACAGACGTCTGGGCAGACAGCTCAGGATCCCTCTGTTAGTGTTCACTATTTGGCAGCAGTAAATACCGGTGCTAATGCTGATGACATGCCACCTGTCCAAGGCACCACAGTTGAGCATTCCTTTCTCCCTCCTGAGCAGCAGGGGCCTGAAGATAACTTGAAAACCAGTACCACCAAATGTATTACTGGCCAAGAATCACAAATTGCTCCTTCCCACACAGTGATCCTTCCAGCTACCTACAGCGTAGCTCTGTTGGCTCCTAAATGTGAGCAGGACTTAGCTATAAAGAGTGATTATAGTGGCAAATGGACTGATCAAGCATCTGCTGAGAAAACAGGAGATGATAACAGCACAAGGAAATCATTCCACGAGGAAGGAGACTTAACGGCTACTTTGTCTTCTGAAGAAAATGTGTGTGACATAGGTGAGAATCTGTACGTAATTGCAAATTTTGACATCTTACAAAGATGATTGTACAGCAGAGTGCATTTAGGACACTTTCAAAAGATGATTCTGGTTCCAGAAAGATAAATATCTACAAATTTTTTTCTTGTATCATAATGTTGCAAAATAATTCTCGTCAAACTTGAAGGTCAAGCTTTTCTAAAAGATACTTGTGTTTAAAAGTTTAAAACCTTTGGCCCATTTCTCCTGTGTGGGGAGGAGTAAAAGCAGGAGGCTGAGACCTGGGAAGTCCATGTGTTATTTACATGACTGCTACAACTTACTAAACCACTTTGATCTACAGGCTTCTTGTCAGTCAAAATGAAGAGTACCCTACCACAACCCAAAGAAAGCAATATGTTTTTTTTTACCATCCTCATTTTACAAATAAGAAAATAGAGTTAGGAAATTTCAATAACTTTCATGGTCCTTGGGTGCCTCTTAGAACAACAACAAAAAAAGCTTCTGAGCCTCCATTTCTTGTATAAAATGTGGATAATAAGGTGGGATCATAGTACAAAGGCAAACATGATTCCAGCCCTTATCTCATTATAATATCTTTGAAGTATTTGTTCATTCAGTCTGCTGGTTCCTTTGAATCAAGGGAGCACATTATTAACTGAGCTTATTTTTCAGATAAAATGAGTTCGTTTCTAGTTTAGCATATATTCGAATGAGAAAGGAAACATTTTTCCCTGCTGACAGATTTTGGACAGTTCTAGTCTTTTAGAAATAACTTTCAAAGATATTTTCTCAGTCATTTCCTATACCATCCAGCTTCACATACTTTATACCAGATACCAGGATCTGGGGATGCAAGGATAAATCCTCAGGAGAAAAGTGAGCAGTGACACTTTAAAGTATGACAGTTGCATAGAATGGAATTAAGCACAGAATGCTGTAAGAAGTCAAAGGGTACCCATGGGCTGGACTTGAAGGGGCAGAGGAATTCTTTTCCACTCTGGTGTCCTAGACTTTTAACTGAAACAGACCTTAGCCATCATGTAACCCCGCGTCAGGAAGCTGAGGCCAATAGATTTAGTCTTGCTCATTATAGAGACTTAGGAGACTTTAAGAATTGCTCCAAGGGTTGAAATAAGTAACTTTACAAGTTTCTATTGAATTTAGCCTAGAGTAAATTGAATGCTCCAGAAGTTTCTGTGATTCAGTCATTCAGTCATTGCTATAATTACTCATCCCTCCTTTTTTTCTGAATAAGCAAAAATAGAAGGGTTTCTACAGAACCTTCCATACAATCTACAGGATATGAGAAAGAGGTAAGACTAGAGTAGAATTCACTCTCTATAGCTGAGAAAATTTTATTTTTGTCTAACTCACAGTTTTTTAACTTTCTGCTCAATTTTGCTGTGCTTAGTATAAAGCAAGTAAAGTGAATCTGTTCATAAATCACCTTTACTGAGAATAGACCTTAATGACTCAGAATATTTTTTATGGACAAACTTGATAGCGATCACTGCAGAAAAATACTTGGAAACAGATGTCTGCACAAATAATACTTTTATCATTCTTTCTGGGCAGCCATCCTAGTTTGCAAACAAGAATTTCACTCACCCAAAATGAGCAAATGATCCCTGCCTTTCATCCAGATCCTTTTTATACATACGCCTTTTGATCCTTTTCTACGGACAGCAAAATAAACCAGAAAAGAAAGGTGGCACAGCCTGTCATAACCACATTATATTATCCATGACTTTTTGACCTTGGATGTATTTTACAAGCAAATTCTTAAATTGTACTAATGGCTTGAATTTCATTAGGCAATGAAGAGTCTCCATTGAATGTTTTGGGAGGATTGGAACTGAAAGCTGACTTGAAAATGGAGGTATGGCTTATAATTCAGCTGTGCTGAACTGAAAGTGATTAAATACTGTTTCATCTTATGTGGTACATAGAGTCTGTTCTCATTGGACTTAGGACATTTAGTGTTGTTATTTCTATATCCTGTGGGAAGAAAAAGCTAAGAACCTCAATAACCTTAGTAAATAGTGCCATCATCAGTTCTGTTTACTCAAGCCAGAAACACAAGAGTCATCCTCAGTTTCTCTGTCATCCCACATTTAATCTATCGCCATTTCTTACAGGTTCCATTTCCAAAATACAACATGAGTCCATCTACTTCTGTTTCTGCAGTCACCACCCTAGGCCAAGCCACTACTTCATAGCACCTCCATTAGGCTTTATTTCACTCCAGCCGTCCTCTAGTGTGATTCACACAGCCCTGCAGGTAGTCTTTGGAAACATAACTTAGGCCCTGTCATTGCTCTGCCTAAAATTGGTGGTGGCTTCCCATCATACTTAGAATAAAATCTGCTTTTTTTAAAAACATGGCTTGGGTACTTTATGCAATTTAGGCTCCATATCCCCTTTCTAGCCTGTTCTCAAGGCACCATCCAAGTATGTATGACAAGACAGCAGTGAACATGGGAAGAAAACAACTTGCCCAACAGGAGCAATGGGCAGGTAGACAGGAGGGTTTGCAAGGAGGACACTGGAATAGAGTTTTGAAAGTAGAGTGGAAATTTCCCAGAAGAAAGAAAAAGAGCCTTTCAAGCAAAGAGTGTTGTGTTCTAGACCCGGAGATAGGAGGGCACGTGGTATGTCTCAGGCACTGCAGTGGTACATGATGAGCTGTGGTGAGACTTAAGCCTGGAAGGGAGTGGGAGCCCATCAGGAAGAGTCTTGTGTGGTATGCTGAGTTGGGGTTTTGCTTTTAAAGCAATAGAAGACCCATTGATGGATGAAAAATGAGATTAGATTGATTTCTTAATTTGCTTTGTTTTTAAAGGCTGATGTATTTATTTTTAAAGTTCTGTGTACTCTTGAAAGTAGACTTTTATATTGTTTGAAGATGCTGGAGTTTTTTGTTTAATTCACTCGAGGTTAGTCTTCTTGTAAAAAACCCCAGTTAACTTATTTTTATGGTGCTTTGGATTTTTTAGGCTTATGTGCCTTCAGAGGAAGAGAAACATCGTAAAATTTTGGTACCACCAGAAAGTCTGTGTGGGGGAAAGCCAAGTGGAATAGGTAAGCTCCTTAGAGTGGTTGTTCACATTGTTTTTGATTGTTCCTTGCATATGGTTTTACCTTTCTAAACACCAGTAGCTGATGCATAGTAATATACAGGCTATATTAATATGCCTCTCGCTGTTTTAAAAGAATTCGGGGAATTCTTTACTATTATATTTTTAACATATACTTTTTCTACTGAAATGTCAATCAACATTATGTAGGGTAATTGTTTAAATCTGATTATTTCCAAATAATAATGCAAAACGAAAGTTGTTTTGGAGCAAATGCTTGCTCTAACCCCAAAATGTTTCTCCATACCCCTAGCCTGCCGCCAGACGCTATAGCAGCTCATTTCCAAAAGGTTAATCTGAGCCTAAGGGCTCACTTTAAACCATTTGCTCTTGTCTCTTGCTCTGGCTTTTGCCCCAGTGACTGCACAGAAACTGCTCTCAGCTTATATAAACTTTTCTCAGTCTCTGTGCAACAGTCTTTATTGCGGACTACAGATTTTAAGGGAGAGCCCCAGTGTCAGAAAGGGATAATGGCAGGAGCTCTTAAACGTTTTGGTCTCAAGGACCAAAAGATTACAGAAAAATTACCAAAAACCCGAGATTTTGTTATATGGCTTATACGTGTTGACATTTGCTAAATAAGAAATTAAAATTGAGAAAAGTAAATGTTAAGTCACTATTATTCAATATAATTAACTATTGTAAGTTAACTCTTTTTTCATGAAAAATAGCAATATTTTCCAAAACAACACAATTAAGTGATAAAAGCGAAATTGCGTTGCATTTTTGCAAATCCTTTTAAGTCTGGCTTAATAGGAAACAGCTGTTTCTCATATCTGTTTCCACATTCAATCCTGTTGCTATTTATTGTTTTGGTTGAAGTATATGAAGAAAATTCAACATTACAGATAGATGGTTGGGTTTTAAGCCTTTTCAGATAATTATGGGTACTTCATGGCCTCTGGAATATTACATTGAGCACTCACGTGTCTGTAAGACAAATAATGTTAGTTTGGCCCTTGTGGATTTCTTGATGGAAAGCCTCAGGAATTCCTGGGAGGCTGGAACATACTGGCTTAAGAAAATAGAAATGAGAACTGTGATAGTGAGGAATTATTTCTAGTTTGTATTGCAAACATGATTGTGTATTTTCTTCTGATTCCTACAATATTTTTTTTAAGTACTAGTAACTATAGAGTATGTGGCCAAATTTAAGCCAGTTCTCTCTTTTTTCCCACAATGTTAAAATGTCCACGCAAGTCAGATGGAATAAACAGGGTGATTTTGGTTGTAAATACGTATAACAGAAACTTCTATAAGTATTTGCTTAAAGAGACTTTGTTAGCTTACAAAACTGAAAAATTTAGGTAAAGCATAATCCAAGAGGATGCAGATAGCTCCAAAGACACGTCTGGTAGAAACTCCATTTTATATCTTCTTCCTCATCCCCTGAATAAGGATCATTGCTTTCTCATTCATAGCCTCTATTTTTAGCTTTGGCTTACCATTCCTGGCCAAAATTCTGAGACTTTTTCTGATTTAGTATAAGTACATATGTCTACCCTAAGCTAATTACTGTGACCAGACGAATATAGCTTACTATTAGAAATAAGTCAAGTGTTCTGTTCCTGGATCCACATGGTATTCCAGACAACAGTCTGGGCTCTTGGGGAAGGTGCCAGTATTGTCTGCTGTAGTCAGATTGGCTCTTTAAATTAGTTCCCTGACAAACATCATTAAGTCTGCTACTTATGAGTACAGGGAAATAAACATGGTGGTGACTGATGGAGATACGTCATTCACTGAAAAGAACGTGCAAATAAGCAGGGTACTATAATAAAGATATGAACTTGACTGTGAGAGTCAGCTTCTCTGAGGTAGGGCCTCAGGGAAGACTTGTATTGGCTAAATCAACCTCTTCCCCACTCCCTATCTTTTAATTACAGAAAGTAAGATATACAGAAATGCATAAAAAGTTCCCCACTCTCTATGAGTAACCACCTTCAGTACAATTACATATTTTAAACAAAAATAAAGTTATGTTTCTATTTTTCTAGATTTTTTTTACTCAACCATATATTGCAGGCATCCATTATTATTTTGTTAGCATATACAGATCCACTTTCTTTTTTTTAATAGCTAAGTAATCATAATACCAGTTTTATATCTTTTAGTAGTTTCAGGCTTTTTACTATTATAGAGCTGCAACAAACTTCCATAATGTACATCACTACATGTGTTTTACCACGTATTTCCATAAAATTGCATTGGGGGAGGGAGGTCAAAGACTATATGGGTTGAGTATCCCTAATCCAAAATGCTTGGGATCAGAAGTGTTTTGGATTTCAGATTCTTAGGTTTTTGGAATATGTGTATTACACCTCATTGAGCATCCCGTATCTAAAAATTCAAAATCTGAAAGTCCCAATGAGCCTTTCCTTTGTGAGTCATGTTGGCACTCAAAGAATTTGAGATTTTGGAGCATTTCAGATTTCTCATTTTGGATTTGAGATGCTCAACCTGTATAAGTTCTGAATTTTTATAAGTACTTGTTACTCGTTTGGGGCTAAATATTGAATGATGAGTAGGTGTGCATTAGGTGTACAAGGCAAAGAGAAGGGCAGTTGGTGTGGAGTGATTCAGATTCAATGAATAGTGCATGTAAATCCTCAGCCATGACTATCTGGGGAGGTGTGGGGAGTGGGAGCAGTTGAGGACCTTCTTACATAAAGCCATCTGAAAGGGTCTCAGAAGACATGTAAGAAGTGGCAGCCAGTCCTAGAAGACCACACTAAGACTTGGTAAGTCATTTATGCTGACAGGTTAAAACCCTGAAGATGACTAATCTATTCAAAACTTGGACAGATACATTAATTAAAATGTGCACGGGTGTTTTATACTACAAATAATTGACGTCTCATTTGTTAATTGTCAGGAAGCTAACATTTTTGGGTTCTGAAGTCCTTTGTTCCCACAGTTATTTTTCAGATAGCTTTACTGTGTTTAGGTACAGTTCAGTAAGAGATCTACTTACGTAAAAGGAAGTTGTTTAAAAGAAAAATGTGTGTTCTGTCATTGTTGAGTAAAAACAGTAGACTTTGTACTTCATGTTTCCAAAGAATATAAACAGACCATTGCTGTTTGAGGGGATAGGATCTAACTTTTCATTTGATGGCATTATTTTAAATGAACCTGTGTTATACTGCAGCTTAACAGCTACATTACGGTCTTTTACTTTTTTTCTAAGCTTCAGATCACCAACATAGTTAAATCACCATAGTGATTTAATGTACCACTGCCATTATTATAAAAATGCAGGCAACATTAATTTCTGTTGTCTAGTACTTTCTGGTAGTACAACATGGATTGATTGTGGGAAATAACTGGTCTGAATTTTATAATTTATGAAGGCAACTAAGCCACTTGGTGACATAGCCCTTCTTACCTATCTTAAAAATCTTCAAACTAGTTTCTCTACATTTCAGAAACATTATTCAGTTTCTTTACATCTCATTTTTGGTTTTGAACAGCTGAACTCCAGAGGGAGCCTTTGTTGGTGAATGAATCACTAAATGTAAGTTACTGTAATGGTTTTGATTTTTGTGGTTATTGGATTTTTTATTTTATTTTATTTTTTTGAGAGCTAGTGAGGAGGAGACATCTAGTAAAGGGGTTGCCTGTTTATTTCTGTAGATGCCATGAGGCATTTGGTAGTGTGCTCTTCATTTGAGTTCAGCATTCTGAAAGCAGCTTTTACTCGCTCTTTTCCATGTTCACCTATGCCACTGATGAAGAACTCTGAACTTTGTATTGTTTATTGTTATAATGGAATTGAAAATTGGATTTTGATATCATAAATCCTGATACTATAGATAAAATTTTTAATTTGACAATTAAATTTCACTTTATCTTTTTAAAAAGCTTTTCTTAAGATACTAACCTGTAACTGCTATGTGTACTATTTTTTCCCAGATGTGGCTCTCATAATCCCTTTTGTGCTTAAAAGAGTCTTGTTTTTCGTACTTTCTGTCTAAATGTATTTATAAGGAATCTTGTATTGTACCAGGAGTGAACATTTTGTAAAATGTTTCCAAATCTGCAGACAATTGCATTCTTTCCAATGCCCCAAGAGGAACTGGGGTACTGTCAGTGAATCGTGGGATCAGAGCATCCTCATCATCGAGCACCCTGTTTTCTAGCTGTAAACTCATACAACATATGCTGAATAAGAAGAAAGAGAAAAGTACCACTTGTTGTAGTTCAAGTTTGCCATCCAAGAGTTAAAAAAGATTATAACTAGGCACAGTGGCATGGCCTATAGTCCCAGCTACGGAGGACATTGAGGTGGGAGGATCACTTGAGCCCGGGAGTTTGGATCCGGCCTGGGGAACATAGCAAGACCCTGTCTCTCTAGTAATGAATTTCTTTTAATAAAATAAATTTTAAAGGTTAAAAAGATTTTAAATGGGGTTGAATCTTACAAAGTCAGCTGGCATGTTCTCCATCCTACCTCAGTCCCGAGTCCTACCAGCAGCTGTCTTTTCCCCAGTTGAGCATAAATGTCCTTTCCAAATGTGTACAAAAGTCTATAGCATGGACTTAGGGTATTGTAGGATATTCTGAGGCTTTCCACTTAGTTTAAAAAAAATAGTAGAATTGATAAGATTTGCCAATTAAGAAATCTTATTACAGAATCCTATAGAGTTTTTAAAGAAAAAAGAAAATCATGCAGGATTTGGATGGGAAGGGAAATTTATGAAATTCAGAAAATGTTTCTCGTATTTCTTCTTACTCTTTGCCATTTGCTGCTTTAAAGACAGACAGAATAAGCACAATAATTTGTTAAACTGAAACTTTTTCAAAAAGATGTTGCATGCTTTTGAGCTTCTGGGTGAAATTAAAAAGAATGTGTACCCCAATTCCTTTTGGCATTTGTACAAACGGCAAGGCTATATAAACTACTTTCTCTCCTCTCTCTTTCTTTTTGTCTTTAAATTTGTTGTGAGACTATCCATAAATATTTTTTATATTGTATATTTAGGTTGAAAATTCAGGCTTCAGAACAAATGAAGAAATTCATGGCAAATCTTATAACAAAGGAGGTAAGTTAATGAATTTCATAATCATAGTTTTAATGTTAATTATAGTTACCGTTTATTGAGTACAGTCTACATACCAGGCCTTGTGTTAATTATTTTACAAATTTTCTCTCATTTAATTCATATGATTCAGTAAAGTGATGGTTAACAGCATCACTCCTACAGTTGAGGAAAACGAGGCTTAGACCAGGTGACTTATTCCAGGTCATACAGCTTGTAAGTGATATCATGCTTTAAATAGCTGCTAGAACTTTGCCATTAACCTCTCAGTTGACTCAAACCAACATGAATACAAAATGCATAGTCCCCTGGGATTGCAAGTACCCAACTGTGAAATGTGTTAACTTCTGACCGGCAGTTTCAGGATGATAGCATATCAAGGATGTCACATTAATGTGGGTCATCTCCTAGGGATGAGATCTGGTGGCCACACAACCTGTGCAGGCTGCCAACTCTGGACAGATAATTCCGTTCTCAAATTATCTGAACATAGAATTTTCTTGATGCCTACTAATTTTGTTAATTTCCTATTGAAAGAGTAGGGAAAGAGGTTTATTTACTTATACAGTTATTTTTATAACATATACCATATTTCAAACAAAAGATAAACAGGCATGTGCCCCATAACCTAGTTTTGCCCTATCTTAAAATTTAGTATATTTGCTTCACATGTCTTTTAAGAAATATTACAGTTAGAGTAGAATTCCCATTTACCCCTTCCCAATCCCAATCTCTTTCCCTGTAATCCTACTCCAAAAGGAACCCTATTCTGTATTAGTTGTGTCCATAAACAATATGTAACACATGTTGCCTGCTTTAGGGGAATGGCCTAATATTACATAAACCCTCCCCACCTTATTTGCCCATTCAGCAGCGTTCTGAGATTTTGTCCTGTTGATTTGTATTAATTCTAATTATTTCAATTGCTTTTGAATATACCACAGTTCGTATTTTCTGCTTCTTTTTTTTTTTTTTTGAGACGGAGTTTCGCTCTTGTTACCCAGGCTGGAGTGCAATGGCGCGATCTCGGCTCACCGCAACCTCCGCCTCTTGGGTTCAGGCAATTCTCCTGCCTCAGCCTCCTGAGTAGCTGGGATTACAGGCACGCGCCACCATGCCCAGCTAATTTTTTGTAGTTTTAGTAGAGACGGGGTTTCACCGTGTTGACCAGGATGGTCTCGATCTCTTGACCTCGTGATCCACCTGCCTCGGCCTCCCAAAGTGCTGGGATTATAGGCGTGAGCCACCACGCCCGGCCCTTTTCTGCTTCTTTTGTACATTAGTTTGCGCATTTAGGTATTTTGAAACTTTTCCCAGTTACAAAGAGTGCTACTGTGTATGTTCTCATACCTTTCCCAGTGCATATGTAGTATACTTGTATTTCTAGGTGTGGAATTGCTCAGTTATAGGCACCTCTTCAACTTTACTGCATGTACTAAATTGACCCTAGGTGGCGTACCAGTTGTCTCTCCACACCGTCTCCCCTATTTGGTATTGTTTGACTGGTGAATGTTTGTTAGCCTGATGATTATGATGCAGTAATTTATTTCTTAATACTGTGTTCCTACACAAACTGGGAGGAAGGGCCTTGAAGCCTTCTGTGTAAAGTCCAGTGTTGTTACCCAAGACATGTTACTGCTCTCGTTGAACCCCATTCACTCACATCTACAAATGGAAAAAAGATAACGTAACTGATAGAGTTGTGTGGACAATCCCACCAAAAATCATTTGTGAAATATCTACCACAATACTTTGTACATAACTCCTACTCAATAAAGTTACTAACTCGGTTTTCTCCCAGCCCCCCGACACACACCTAAAATAAGTATTGGAATAGAAAAATATTTAAGATTTTTTTGCTTTTTTCTATTTACTACTCAGAAATACCCAGTGGTGGAAAAGACAGCACAGAAGCCGTAGACAGTCACAGTGTTGAAGCAGATCCTAAAGAGGTGTGTTTTAGTAAACTGAAGTGTTTGATATTTTATATATAACATTTGCACTGTGCACAAAGAAGGGCTTTAGAAAGGCTCTACTGCTTTGTAGAAATTAAATATTAAGTGGGTATATTAAGTGTTCCACATGTCACTTTTATCTATATATGCCCTTTCCATGTTTAGGCAATTTGGCAGTTCCGGGGACTGTTTGGAGGTGCCCATGTTGTACATTCAGAATGTTTTTTATGGACTACCTTTCATCAAGTATAAGAAGTCCATTGTTAATGAGCCACTAAGACAGTAGAAAAATACTACTAATTATGACATGCCATCAGTTGTAAGATATATATAGGCTGACTCCAGAGATAGTGAAATGGAAATTCTTTTAAATCATGTGTTTTAGAATTATCAAAATATAGTATGTAGTGAGAAACAGATTTACATGTTTTATATAAATTTACATTCAAATCCAGAAAAGAGACTAAAGCTTACAAAATTAGTCTAATCCAAATCTAAATATCAAGTGTTCTAGATTTTTTAAAATTTATATATCAACTTATTCCAAAGGTTAGAAACTAATATCATGTGCCCCCATTTCAGTTTATTTGAATCAAGATTCTGTGGACTTTAATATGGTCATTCTTAATTCCAGGTTGAAGAGGAAGAAAGGCATATGCCTAAAAGAAAAAGGAAGAAGCACTATCCCTCTTCAGAAGATGAACTGGGTATTTATATATGTTTCTATTTTAGACATCTTTGAAAATTATATTTTTATATCCAAAAGAGTAAGCCAAAAACAGAATTTTTTTTTTTTTTTTTTTTTTTTTTTGAGACGGAGTTTCGCTCTTGTTACCCAGGCTGGAGTGCAATGGCGCGATCTCGGCTCACCACAACCTCCGCCTCCTGGGTTCAGGCAATTCTCCTGCCTCAGCTTCCTGAGTAGCTGGGATTACAGGCACGCACCACCATGCCCAGCTAATTTTTTGTAGTTTTAGTAGAGACGGGGTTTCACCGTGTTGACCAGGATGGTCTCGATCTCTTGACCTCGTGATCCACCCGCCTCGGCCTCCCAAAGTGCTGGGATTATAGGTGTGAGCCACCGCGCCCAGCCTCAGAATTTTTAATGATAGTAACTGTCTACTTCACAAGTCTTGAGGCTAATTTGTTTCTAGACTGGCTTGATACCTCCAGGGTTCTTTCTGGACCTCAGTCTAGAAACTAGATTGTTTCCTGCAGAAAACCCAACCCTGGGATCTCAGACAAAGCCAAGCTTTCTCTGGAACCACACCCTGGAGCCCAGCCAGATGCCACTAACAGTCTGCATTTTATATCATAAGCGGGTGCCCTACAGGGCTAGGGAAGCACATTAGTCTAGGTGCTGCTAACAGCTCTTCTGGGCTTCATAATGTTGATTTTGTCATGGTCTGTAATAGTGCTATCTGGTAGAACTGCAGTGATAGAAGTGTTCTATGTTTATTTTGTCTAGTATAGAAGCTACTATCCACATGTCACTGTTGAGCACTTGAAAGTGGTCAGTGGAAACGAAAGACTGAATTTTTAATTGTTTTTTATTTTAATTTTATATTTCAGTAGCCACATGTAGCTAGTGACTCATGTTAAACTGCACAGTGACCTTTAATACTTGACACAAAGGAGAAATTCAATACTTATTGAATGAATACATGAGAAAAAATGAAGAGTTAAATATATTATTTGGTAACAATTTATTGAGTTCCTAATGTGTTCAAGTACATGGTCTCAATTACTAAGCTATACCTCTTAGGTGGTAACTCATTTAGAAAGTTAAAGTATCTCTGGGAACTATATACACTAAGCCCTTCCCATAGAACCCACCACTTCGTTGGTATCTCATGAATATGTGGGGATTTTTGTATTTTGTTTTATTTTTTACTTTGCCAGGGCGAAAGGCAAGTGTTCAGTACTAAAAGCACATGATATTATAAATATAGAGTAACTTTTGACTTCTCTGTATCACAGGCCTAAGAAAGAAGGCTCAAACAGTATTAAAATAGAACTATGTATTTCATTTTTCATTTAGCTTTTGTTCCTTTGTGATTCTGTCTGAACTGATTTACAGATGATAATCCAGATGTCCTGGATTCCAGAATAGAAACAGCACAAAGGCAGTGTTCTGAAACTGAGCCACATGACACAAAGGTATTTTTTCCACATGTTAATTTTAAGTTTTGGGCAGGGGTCGGGAGGCCTAATTACAGCATTGTGAATACTTATTATAATATTTTTTTTCATTTTAGTATCCCTCTTTATGTGTCTCTAATAATTTATTATAAAAGGTGTATATTTTTTAATATCCTTCCAAAGATCAAATGTTGCACTTATAATTCATAAACTGCAAGATTGTCTAACTATCACAATCATTGCTTAGGTTTTTGTTCAATAGTATTATTGACTTTTTAAGGTTTCTAAATGCTTTCTTTCAGAGTATAATGTGCCAAATATATTTGTACCAAAATATTGAAATACAGTTATATATATTACTTTCAATGTCAATACTCTGCTCTCTAGCTTACCTCCTGTATTAGTCTGTTCTCATGCTGCTAATAAAGACATACCCGAGACTGGGTAATTTATGAAGGAAAGAGGTTTAATTGACTCAAAGTTCCACATGGCTGGGGAGGCCTCACGCTTATGGTGGAAGGCAAAGGAGAAGCAAAGTCACATCTTACATAGTGACAGGCAAGAGGGCATATACAGGGGAAATCCCCTTTACAAAAGCTTCAGATCCCATGAAGACTTATACACTGTCCGGGGAACAGCACAGGACAAACCTGCCCCCATGATTCAGTTACCTCCCACCGCATCCCTCCCACTACAAGTGGGGATTATGGGACCTGTAATTCAAAATGAGATTTGAGTGGGGTCACAGCCAAACCATATCACCTCCTGCCTCTAAAATCTGAGTACTCTAAGGATTGACCTCACCCATTGCCTTTTTTCGTGTAGTCTTATTTTCATCTTATGACTCACAGAAGCTCCTCACAAATTTTTATTTGTGCTCTGCCCTCTCTTTTATTGTAGGCTCAGATTTTTTCATTCCCATTAGATACCTCTTCTTGGCTGTTCTTCCATGTCTGAGACTCAGTACTCTAAAATTTCTCATTGTATGAACCAGTTCCATCTCCTCCTCTCTCTTTCCCTAATTTATATTTTTATAAATTGTTCAACACCTTATTCCAAAAGTATTTAAGTTCAGTTATGAGAATACTTGAGCTGACTTCCAGTTCTCTAAAATCACACTTTAGTCTCTTTTTTTCCCCAGTAACGAATTAACTAAATAAAAAGTAGTAGGAAAGGATTTTGTAGCCAAAGAGGGAAAATGGCATATGGTCATGAATTTCAGTTGTTTGTGACCAAAGGAGGAAACAGGCTCGTACACTATCCCTCTCCCTGCCCTGTCCAAAATAAAAAATTGTGAGACAATACTTCTAAATTTGAAGAAAAGCAGATTGAAAGGGTATCTTTTTATTTTCTCTTATTTCATGATTTTTTCATGTTAAATTTAAATAATCTAATTTAACTTTTCATTAAGCAGTTTTATATACACAGTATTTTCAGTTACTACAAAAGAATCTTTTCTTACATGGAAAGCTGTCTGCAATGGCATTTATTTAATATCATGTTAATATTAGTAATTTTTGGACAGTATGTTGGGAGTGATTTCATCATTCCTGTTATAGTTTTCTGTGTAGCAAATATGTGCCATTTTATGAAAAGCAATAAAGTCATTATTCTAAAATTTGTGTAGTAAGACCAAAAGAAGACCCAAATTGAGTAAGTGAAAAATCCCAGGCACTGGAAAAATAAAAGGAAGTAAAAAGTGAGTTGCATGCATGTCATCGGGATCTGATTAAGTGCTTACAGGACTGAATGTTGGCCCTGACAGAGCCAGCTCAAAAACAGAAATGCAGTTCATCCAATGGTTTGAAGACTTTTACACAGGACATCTTCAGCCCACTATATGAAACAGATACAAGTGTAGATGTTCTGGCCGAAATGAGGGAGAAGACCCCAAAAACTTCTGTCTGTTCCTAAACCTTATCCAACACACACACCCAAATACACATACACACACACATGCTTTCTCCCTCTCACACACATACACATACATACACACTGTCTCTCTCATACACACACAGAGCCCTTGAAGAGGTTCTGAACTGAAAATGGCAGTGCAGCATGAGTGTCTCAGTGTGAAGTCTCAGTGTTGATGTGTTGATAAGGTCAGAGCAAATAGGTTTCTCCTTGGCTTTCCCAAATTGGTTGACCTTCCATCCTCGAAATCAGCGCTCTCCCAATTGGATATATGACAGGTCATCAAGATGTGAGCAGAAATGGTAGAACCACTATTTATATATGCCTTTTATCTAAAACTCTTAAAAATTAAGCTCAGCTGGGCGCGGTGGCTCACGCCTGTAATCCCAGCACTTTGGGAGGTCGAGGCAGGTGGATCACGAGGTCAAGAGATCGAGACCATCCTGGTCAACATGGTGAAACCCTGTCTCTACAAAAAATACAAAAAATCAGCTGGGCATGGTGGCGCGTGCCTGTAGTCCCAGCTACTTAGGAGGCTGAGGCAGGAGAATTGCCTGAACCCAGGAGGCGGAGGTTGCGGTGAGCCGAGATCACGCCATTGCACTCCAGCCTGGGTAACGAGCGAAACTCCGTCTCAAAAAAAAAAAAAAAAAAAAAAAAATTAAGCTCTACTAATATTTACTCTGTAGATTGGCCCTGGTACCATCACTGAAAGTGAGCTCACCTTTGACATTACCTATGAGTCATGTATTGTAATTACGTGTCCTGGACCTAGTTATATCGTACTGTCAAAGTACCTTAAGGGAAGCTGGGGGTCACACGACACAGAGGACTTTAGAATGAGCCCCTCACTTGTTTGTTTCGTATTTTCTGACTTAATACTTTACAGATGCTCAACTAAATGAATTTGCAGAGTTTGTTAACCTTATTTTAATTGAATTGACCCTTCCAAAACAGACACTAGCTTGACTTCTGCAAAAATAGCCACAACAAAAAACCCCATAAGACAAAGACAATATTTGTAATGCAAGCACAAATAATAAAAGAAATGTCTGAGCTGATTCTTCTTTTACTAGGAAGTAACAGAAGCTCTGTGTCATCCTTATTGTTAGGTAAAAAAGAATGAAGATCTAAACATATCTCAAGTGAGGTAGGCCAGAAATTCCAGTGTTTCAGGAGACTGTGAAATGTGGATTTGCTTTCTATCCACCCCCTCCAAATCCCTGAAAGGCTATATCAAAACCCAGTGACATTGAATGCCTCCCAGTAGGGAAGTTAGGGGTGAGGGCATTTCATTATAGACCCCTCTAAATTTTGAACCTTGAGAATATATTTCTATTCAAAAATAAGTAAAATTAAAACTAATAGAAATTAGGATTTACATTGCAGTTGTTTATAATGGGCCATGAAAGTAAAAGTAAAGCTTTAGTTTCCCGCTTCATCTCGATCTTATTCTACTTTACGTGTTTTTGTTTATATATTATATTAATATTATAGTATCAATGTTTTGGTACTTCACACCGAGTACTTTCTTGTCACTAAGGGGGAATAATTCATTGCTGAAAGATCACTGCTCCAAGTCAGCCCATCTGGATACCCAGAAATTCTCCTGGGCACCTTCCAAATTATTGCTCCCCTACATCCCTCCCCTCCACCACTCCACAAAGAAAAATATCTGTTGCCAGTATCTGTCCATTCTTTCTTCGGAGTTTGTCTTGAAAAGACAAAATCCAAGCAGAGCAAGAAGAGCAATTTCTATTTTGCAGGAAAGAAAATGGCCTTGACATTTCATACTTGAACTTTATCTCATGCTTTTCTGCTCTCAGAATTTTTATTTTTTTTTTATCATCTTAGCAGCCATAATAGTTACATTTCAAAAACATTTTTCAAAAAATTGTTCTAAAAACGAACTAGGAAGTGTTTTGGAAATAGAAAGGCAAACTTGGGTGGGGAGGATGAATGGGTGAAAGCTTCAGTTTGAAGAAGCTTCTAGTCTTTTTCAACTTCTCTATAGGAAGAGAACTCTGGCGATTTGGAAGAATTATCTAAAACCAGTTCTGAGACAAACAGCACTGCCTCAAGGGTCATGGAAGAAAAAGGTGAGTAAAACATCTGCTTGGATAAATTGACTGAGCCTTCAAAGCAGTCAGCATATCTCATTTGCTTTCCCTGTATAATGAGGTTCCTCATGCTTAAGATTAGTAGGGCTAGGGAATCCTTTTTAATTTGGATCCTGCTATACCTAAAGTGTGCTGTTTACTAGTCAGCCAAACTGAGGCTTATTAATTTTGAGGGTAGAAACATGAAAATGGAGTGTGTGTTCATGTGTGGCTGGAGCTGTGTAGGTCACCTAGGTAAAGGTGGGGTAGGCTGACCATGGTCACTACCAGTGAACTAAGCTATGCCTTTTCTTCAGATGAATATAGCAGCAGTGAAGCTACTGGTGAAAAGACAGAGCAGAACGATGATGACACCATAAAATCTCAGGAGGTGAGATGTGCTTTTCATATTTATTTGTTCACAATTATTTAAGCACTAAAACCAAATTAAATTTGTTAAATACTATTACCTCTAGTTTCTCTTAAGTACTTTGCAGGAGCTGGGTTTTTTACAGTGCCATGGGACACCATTTCATACAGTGCATTTTATGAGTGTCATTTTGATTAATTTTGTTCTCTTCATCCTTAATTCATCAAAACATTTGTCTGAAACCTACTTATTTCATGGCCAGATGGGACCAGCTCAGTGCTCTACATCAGTGGCAGTGTCAGGTTCCTGGCCTGGCAATGCTGAGCTGCCAGGCCAGGCACACAGCAGCAAACAGTAGGCTGTCTGAGCCATGGAGTCCAGCTAGGATGGAATGGGAGCAGCAGCAGGGTATGCAGAAGGCATGCAGGGAATGCTCGAGGGAACCTAGTTCATGAGGCGAGGTCATGGATTCCTGGAGGCTGCGGGCACAGACAGCGCATCCCCCAGCCCTGCCCACTCTAAACCCATAGATTTGCAGGGAGCCCGTGGAGCAGAGAATTGCAGTGGCTTGAAACTGAGCATCATAAATCAAGAGACACAGCCTGTATACTAGCCAGCTCTAGATAACCATTGCCAGATTTGCCCATTGTTAAATCTTTTCTTGTTGTTGTTCTCATTTCTCTATGTATGATATATTCAGTGGACTTTATTTCTTAAAAGGAGTAACATTTGGTCACAACTAACTTGGGCTAAATGCCAATTTAAATGGACATACATATTTATTATAGAAGTAAAAGATAACACTTTGATTACTTTATTTTCTCATAATCCTCACAGTTACATTAATTTATGGCAGTTAGTGATATTTATCAGGTTGAGGAAACTACAGTGAGAAAAGTAAATAAAACACTAAGCCCAAGGTCACATATTCTTAAAGTGACAAAGCTAGGATTTGAGCTCTCGTAGGAACTGTCAATCTGATTTTTGAGAAAACTTTGTATAATGAAGGATAAAATTATTTTTATATTGCTGTTGTTTTTTTTATTTCCCCCTTAGGAAGATCAGCCAATAATTGTTAAAAGGAAAAGAGGAAGACCTCGCAAATACCCTGTAGAAACAACATTAAAAATGAGTAGGTACTTGGTGTGTTTTCAGTTCACACACAAGAAATTTCAAACTGATTTTCTTTTTTTTTTTTTTTTTTTTTGAGACGGAGTTTTGGTTTTGTTTTTTTTTTTTTTTTTTTTTTTTTTTTTTTTTTCTTTTTTAGAAGACGACTCCAAAGCAGATACGGTCATTGTCACTGTAAGTAATTACAAAACATGACAATTTCAAATACTTGCTCTTAACCTGAAGTATAATGTAATATCTAGTATTTTGAACTTTATTTTTTTTAAGTATTTGAAAAGCTTTAAAAGACTTTCTTAAATACTGAGTAACCATTCAAATATTTTGATTAGTAGTATCTTTGTGTAAGCAGTTTGATTGTTCTTCATTCAGATTTCCATCCTAACTTATGAGTGTGATTATTTAAAAATTATCTAGGGATGTATCTTCCTGTGGCCACCCTTGGCTAAAATATACAAATCAACTATTTTATATGAGGATTTTGATTTTGAGATAGTGGCTTCTTTATAGAGACTTCTGAGTTGTCTTGCTATCTTACTACTTACTGTGGAATTCACTTTGACCTAAAATATACAGAGATTTCAGTGCAGGAAAATCATCAGCGATATTTTATGTTTGAATGTCCTTCTTTGAACCTGAAGCATATACCTACCAAAATCATTGTATCAGGATTCCATTGCATGCATTTCAGTGGATTATTATAAGGAGGACATTACAAGGAAAGCATTATAAGGAGGACAGACGTGTGTTCACTGACTAACAAAAGCACATGGGATTCAAACCTCAACTTTGCCACTTAGCCTGAGACCTGTGACTTAGGACCAGTCATGGGACCCTCTGGTGACTCAGTTTCCTTGAATGTAAAGTGTATAATGATACCTGCAGTACTTATCTCATGGAATTATTATACGACAAAACCAGAGAAGTACATGTGAATGCATTTACCAACATGTAAAATGGTTTGCCTTGGGGAATGTTAACCACAGTGGCCATACTGCCTTGCCTCAGTTCTCATCCTCTAGCGTCACAACAAGGAGGTTAGAGAAGACGCTTGTTGGAAAGTCTGTATTTAGAAGCTCAGGCATCCACGTTTGCTACATATACTTAATCAATTATAGAAAATAGGTCTCAAAGGGTCTGCCTATGTAAATAAAGATCCTATACCACCTTTTACATCATTGAGTGCATTTCTGTGTGATGATTATAAACTGCTGATTTTAGTTTTTTTGTGTTTATTTAAATGTAGGTAGAACAGTCTCCACCTAGCAGCAAACTGAAAGTAATGCAAACAGGTATGTACCTACAGCATTCCTCTGTGTGTGATTTGAGGGAGGGGTAGGAGAGGCTGGCCATTGGAGAAGGTTTGGGACTCCCATTCTGCTTCTCATTGAAATGGGTGGCCCTCTTGGTAAAAACAGTTGTCCTTGTATCTAGGAAAGACTCTACCTGTTGGTTTATAGAGCCCAGGACTCAAGAATTAAAATTATTTTGACTTTTTTTCTCCATTCCAGGGAGAAAAATATATTCCAAAATGTTGATAATGATTAGCTCTGGGTGGCAGAATAATGGGAGCATTCTATATTATTTGTTACTATTGCATATAAAATTTTTTCAACATTTAACTATGGGTGATCATTCTTCACTTTTTCTTGTGTCTTGGTAAATTAAGGTTTGTTATTTTTTAAAAGAGAAAGGACGTTCAGCACTTTTGATCTTAACCAGTTTTTATTAATAATTTTGTAGTATTTTGAATCCATACAAGAAGAAATCTTTATAATTTCAGTGCCCTTTATGGACTCCAATTAAAGCTGTGTGATTCGGGATGTTTTCTGAATTTAGGTAAAATTATGACCATTTTAAGACAGACCTCTTTGTTGACCTTTCTATTGGATTAAGTTTTTCATCTTCATTGGTATTTTAAACTTGCAAAAGAGTGCAATTATTACAGTCACTAAAAGAAGTGCCTTTGAGTTTTTGAGTGCCTGGTGAATATCCCCATAATTTCAGCTTCAAGTAGTGTGTTGAACTAATCTTTATTTTTCTTACCATGATACATTCTCAGAAAATCGTAACATCTGCAGAAAGCAAATGCATAAAGAATGTAAATACACACCCTACAAACAACAGGTCATAATATGATGTACTTTTTTAACCACCGTGATGTATTTGGAGTCGAATTCTACCTATCACTCTACTTACTAGTTATGTGACTGTGAGAAAATTACATAAATCAAATTACTCAAGCCTGGTTTTTTCAAACTATAAGCTGGAATCATAATACTTGCAGAGCTACATTGAGATTTAGAAGTTCACATTAGCCAGGTGCGATGGTTCACACCTATAATCTCAGCATATTGGCAGGCCATCACAGGAGAATCACTGGAGCCCAGAAGTTGGAGATTACAAGAAGCTGTGATTGTACCACTGCACTCCAGCCTGGGCAACAGAGAAAGACCCTGTCTCATAAAAATAGAATAAAAGTCCTGGTTAAATATCCTTATTCAAAGTGGCTAGGACACCAGAAGTGTTTCAGATTTTGAATTTATTCTGATATTGGAATATTTGCGTTTCCCAATTGAGCATTCCTAATCAAAATTCAAAATGTTCCAGTGGCATTTCTTTTGAGGGTCATTTTGGTGCTCAAAAAGTTTTGGGTTCTAGAACATTTTAGATTTGGGACCGTCAGATTAGGGATGTTCAGCCTGTATGTCATTCCGACGTGCAGTTAACTGTGGCATATTGTGGGCTCCTTATGTGCCTTTTTTTTCTTTTTGGGGTCAGAACATTTAAGCTGAAAGGGATCATAAAAGTAGTCTAACCCAGCCGAGCACAGTGGCTCACGACTGTAATCACAGCACTTTGGGAGGCTGAGGCGAGCAGATCACCCAAGGTCAGGAGTTCGAGAATAGCCCGGCCAACATGGTGAAACCCTGTCTCTACTAAAAGTACAAAAAATTAGCCAGGCATGGTGGCAGGCGCCTGTAATCCCAACTACTCAGGAGGCTGAGGCAGGATAATTGCTTGAACTCAGGAGGCAGAGGTTGCAGTGAGCCGAGATTGCTCCACTGCACTCCAGCCTGGGTGGCTGAGTGAAACTCCGTCTCACACACACAAACACACACACAAAGTAGTCTAACCCAACTTGTGATCTTGCAGATGAAGAAACTGAAGGTCAGCAAATTTAAATAAAATCTGAAACGAAAACAGGTTTCCTGACTTACATTCTGATGTGATCTCTACTAGGTATTCTGATTCTGTCTTTGCTTGTCTGTTACAAAATAATGATGAAGTGTATAACAATGTATTGATTCATACTGATACATTGACAGACAAGCCAGGCTGACTGTTGAAATTTAAATTTACAGTAATAAAATATTAATGCAGAGATTTCCCTTTTCTTAAAGATGAATCCAACAAAGAAACAGCTAACCTACAGGAAAGAAGTATAAGCAATGTAAGTGTTAAATTTCTTATCAAGATATGTTGTTTAGAAATCAATTTAAATACTCAGTTGACCACTCTTTCAACTTTAATTTTATTGCTTCTAGGATGAAGGTGAAGAAAAAATAGTAGCCAGTGTGCGTCGGAGAGGAAGAAAACCCAAACGTTCTCTCGCTGCATCAGATGATGCTGGTATGTTTCTAGCAAATTCTTAATAAAAAGTCTTATTGTTTCAAAATCACCTTTTTAAGAGTTTTTCTTTGAGGAAAAAATCCAATGGGATACAGCTAATACTAATATTACATAAATATGTGTGAAATAGGTCTAATCCTGTGTCAGAAATGGTACATCCCAGACGCTTTTCTGAGTACATGAATTTTTTATGAACGCTGGCTGTGAACTGCATATGTAAACTATCCCAAATGTGTTTGAGATTAAGTTAAACAGTTGTGAATTGCAAGTGCTGAAACAAAAAGGAAGTGGAAAACCACTTCTCTGCCTCCAAGTCCCTAATGTCCTAAGTTCTAAACTCCATGACTCTCTCCCTTGGAAGTATCTTTGGGAATTATATAATCCAGGTGTTACCCTTCTGTTTGAACAGAATCCTCAGAGCCAGAAAGAAAACGCCAGAAATCAGTTTCTGAACCAACGGAGGACAAGAAAGAGCAGGAGTCTGATGAGGAAGAGGAAGAAGAGGAAGAGGACGAGCCTTCAGGAGCCACCACAAGATCCACCACCAGATCAGAGACTCAGAGGTAATGGGGGCAGCACAGAGCTGCCAGAGGCTGTCACCAGCTTCTCCATCTGAAAACAGCTTTGGGTTTCATGGCATTCTCTTTGAACTGAATCATTCATGCTGCAGTGGAAGTTCTTTCATTTTCATTGTTAGCAGAGGGCACATAGTTTTTCTTGGAGAACACATTTTCTGTTCTAAACCACTTTGGGGATTACTTCAGAGTCTTTGCCAGGTTTTAAATGCCTATTTGGTGGAACTCATTCAATTCTTTACACATATTTTTTGAGCATCTACCATCCTTCAGGTATTGTGTTGAGCACCATTCATAAATGTAGACATACATAAGGCATGGTCCCTGCTCTCAACATGCTTAATTCAACTCCAGAGAGCAGGAGGAACCAGGCTCATGCACCACCGTCCTTACATGCACCTCACCAGTGCTATGCAGTAGTTTGATCATAGGAACGTGCCCACATTTGACCATTTTTGAGGAGGTCCGTACTTGCATATATTTCCCAAAATGTGTTCTCTCAAGCCCTATTGTAGCCAGAAGACTCCAAGAAGAAGAGTGCAATGGTAGATGAGTTTGGGAATGTCAGTGAATTCTCTGTCCTTCCTACGTTACATGTTCATTAAAATATTAAGGGTTTGCCCCACTCTAAAGGAAAGAAGCCTGTTGAACTCTGTTCAAACAAGCATTATTTGCTGATACTCCTTTTCTGATGTTGGTCTGTATTATCATACCTGTTAACATATTCCAGTGTTCCTTTCCCCGTGGCGCATTTTGAGAAATGGTACATAACTGTGTAGTTTCATCATACCAGTTAAAAACTTTACCAAACATGAATATTTTCCAAGCTGAGCACAGTAGCTCATGCTTGTCAGCCCAACACTTTGGGAGACTAAAGTGGGAGGATTACTTGAGCCCAGAAGTTTGAGAGCAGCCTGGGCAACATAGGGAGATCCTATGTCCACAAAAAAATTTTGAAAATTAGCTAGGCATGGTGGCCTGTAGTCCCTGCTGCTTGGGAGGCTGAGATGGGAAGATCATTTGAGCCCAGGAAATTGAGGCTGCAGTGAGCTGTAATCACACCACTGCACTCTAGCCTAGGTGACAGTGAGACTCTGTCTTTGAAAAAATGTATTTTTTTAACTTTTAAGTGATGTGATTTACAAGCTGTTAATCTTGGTATTGTCTTGTTTAATTTCATTATCCAAGATTAATCAAAAAGTTCAGGAAGATTTATTTCAAAAATATCACTAACATCGTAAGATAATAGTATCTTGTCTTTAAATAAAGACTTAAAATCAACCTGTTTCTAATTTCTTCAAACTTAACACATTATTAGCCATTTGTGCCGTGGTTTAATTTCTCAAAGAATCAGATTTTAGAGCCAAAGGACTCTAGAAGCTCACATGGCTAAAAATAAGGTGATCTCATATTTGTTTTTTAGGTGGAGCAGCTCAGATAAATAGAAAAGAAGTCACAGAATCAAAACTGGTGCTGCTAGGAGAGGGTGAGGGTGCTGGAGCCCAACACCCCTGCATCTGGGTATAGCATCCGTCCCACCAGAATTACTGCTTCCCTCTAAACAGTTGTGGAAAGTAGGGCTCACCTCAGAGCAAGTTCCATAGGCCTTCTAGCCATCTTCAAGTGAGTGTCTAGAAATTGCTCTCAGGCTTGCCTTTTAAAAATTCTTTAAAAATAAATCTTATTTGATTTATATGGTTTTGTAATCACTGGAATTATCAAAACTCTTCCTTCATGCAGTCTATAATATAAATTTTTGGTTTTCAAATGAATTCTTTTCTCTCTAGTTTAGATTATTTGGCATTGGTTTATCAGTCCCAGGGCTCTGGTGTCTTCGTAATTTCACAGATTGTCTGGGTTGGGTGGGCTCTCGGTGGCCATCTAGTACCACTAGCCAGCCAGTGCCTGAGTCGCTACACCTGCAGCTCCTCTGCAAGGGTCTTCCTGCTTTTGCATGGATCTCAGTGGCAGGGGAAGCTACATCCTCCTTAGCATTCTCTGACTTGTGTTCAGTAGAAGCTGGCCTCCCTGTAGCTTCTACTCTTGATTCTAGTTTTACTTTCCGAAACTTCTGTATAATTTTCTCTTATGTATTTGAGGGCAGCTTCCAGGTCTTCTTGCTTTTTGATCCCCCTCATCATCCCTATTTGTTCTCCTCAGTTACCTTTATCCTCTTTTAGAAGCATATGTGCAGCTGGGCACAGTGGCTCTTGCCTGTAATACCAGCTACTCAGGAGGCTGAAGAAGGAGGATTGCATTAGGCCAGGACTTCAAGACCAGCTAAGCAACGTAGCAAGACCCTGTCTCTAAAAATAATAATAATAATAATAATAATAAATTAAAAAGGCCACGTGCAGTGGCTAACACCTATAATTCCAGCACTTTGGGAGGCCAAGGCTGGTGGATCACTTGAGGCCAGGTGTTCGAAAGCAGCCTGGCTAACATGGTGAAACCTCGTCTCTACTAAAAATACAAAATTAAGCGTTGTTGCAGACTCCTGTAATTCCAGCTACTTGGGTAGCTGAGGCAGGAGAATTGCTTGAACCTGGGAGGCGGAAGTTCCAGTGAGCAGAGATTGCACCATTGTACTCCAGCCTGGGCAAGAGAGCAAGGTTCTTTCTCAAGATAGATAGATAGATAGATAGATAGATAGATAGATAGATAGATAGATAGATAGATAGAGCAAGGTTCTTAAGATAGATAGATAAGATAGATAGATAGATACTCTTTCTCAAGATAGATAGACAGAAACAAACTTTATACCAAGTGTGGTCTAATGAATCTAGAAGAGGATTGTTTTACCGTATTTTCTGGTTGTTCTTCAAAGTGCATCCTCATTACTGAGCTGCCTGAAATTGAACAATACACTGGCTAAACAAGTTCCTTTTTTAGAGGTTTTACTGTTAAATCAGAAATCCTTATCAGGTTCTTGTGCAGTTGACTACTTGGGCCTTAACACTTAGCCTTGTAAATTGTACTTTCATTAATCTTGGCCCTTTATTCTACCCTGATGTGTTCTTTTGTGATCTTTATTTTGTCAGCCAATATATTTTCTATTTTTCACAGATTTTTTTTTTTTTCTAAATCACAATAAAATACCATGCACAGTATGAGCAAAGATAGTATCACACAAGCCAAGATAGTTGTAGGTGACATTAAGATCGACTTCTTAGCAGTGGTCAGGAAAGCCAACCATTTTTCTGATTTTAGTTTCTATTGTTCTGACTTGCCCACAAGGAGCCTCATATTTCCTAAATAGTTCCAGGGACTGGAGTATTCAGTGCTACCATTGCCCAGTGTTTCTATAATCTGTTTCAGAAAGCAACATAGCAAGCCACCTGCACGTGCAGCATCCAAACTTGGCAGCCCAGACACAGTTTCTCCTAGAAATCGCCAAAAATTAGCAAAAGAGAAGTTACCTACCAGCGAAAAAGTTAGTAAATCTCCCCCATTAGGAAGGTAAGTCCCTGCTCACACTTCAAGTCATTTTTAATCCCCTAAGACTATTTTTGGTACAGTAATGCTTTCTTCCTAATTTCCTTTAAGATTTTGTCTCACCAAATAACTGTCTTTGGGGATCATTGGTTTCCAAGAAGAATAGGAAGGGCTGCAGAAGGTTTCTCTGTGGCCTCACCAGTCTGGCCCTGCCACAGTGGACTGCCACACAGGCTTGTGCTTGATACCTGTGAGCCTTATCTGCCTTCTCTCATCCACCAAGACCAAAGGCAAGGTAGTGTGGTAAAGCATGTAACAGCCCGGAATCATTCCTGTTTTAGCTAGAGCATTGGAGAGGTGATGAGGTAATAAAGCTCCCTCTTTCAGGCACAGCCCCTGCTAGCTTACACCTTTCACTGCAGTCTTACTAGTCTTACTGCTTCCCAGAGGTGGCCATGAGCCTGCCTTCCTTGCCTTTGCTTGAGCTAGTGAGGAGTGTCCTCACCACCATCACGGCCCGTTAAGTCAAATCCTTTCCATCCTGCTTCAGCCCACTTTCACCTCTTCTTCTTGCTGCACTTCTGGTCAGTACTGGGCACTTGAGATGCCACATAGCATTGGTTCGGTATATGTATTTTATTTACCCCTCTGTTTCTTTCCTAAGATAGGAACTTGTCATGATTTCTAAGAAGCATTATCATATTCAAAAATAAAAAACTTTTCACTGCACACAAAGACTATTTTGACCTCTCTTACCACATTTTCATCTTCACAGCATACTTGTATATATGTGCTGTTAGTATGTATGTGCATGTTTTCCCTATGTTGAAAGCAAACTATAATGCTAGGCACTTTCATACACGTGCTCTCATTTAACGCTCATTCAGTGAACTGTAATAGTTACCCTTATTTTATATGTGAAGGAAAGAATCTCAGGAAGGTTTGCATGCATACTACTCAAAGTTGAACATGTGGTTGAATCACTTCAGGCTCTTGGTAAAACGCAGATCCTGGGTGTGTAAGTCTAGCATGGGGCCTGAGAGTTGGCATTTCCAACAAGCTCCTCAGTGACCAGTGCCCCTGGTCACAGACCACATTCTGGGTGGACTGGAAGGGCCTGGAAAAGCTACGAAGCTCACATGGCTAGGGAGAAGCAGCCTGACTTAGAGCTTCTGTCGGCTACCACTTGGCACCCAGCACAATGCCGCACATGGCACCTTCACTGAAAAGGTGTTCATTGAGTGGCTGGTGGCTTTCCATCAAAACAGTTTGAAATGGATTATCAACAAACACATTTTCAGTCATTGTCAACACATGCCAAAACCACATCATCTGCAACAATTTTTGACTCAGTTTGAGGTTACTTTTGCTGTCAAAGAAGGAATGAAAAACATGTCTTCATATCAAGTAGAGCCCCATTTCTCCATCTCCTGCAATTTTGGTTCCCCAAGTCTTTTATTCATTGACAGGACATTTACTTCCTGCTTGCCATGTGTTGGGCATTACACTAGGCACTGGAATTAGAAAAATGAATAAATCTCAGCAGCTGCCCTAAAGAATCATCGAGTCTAGTGGGAGAGATCTATGTGTGTAAGACTTTCAGAATTTTTGGCAACAACCCACTATAAGAATGTCTTGCAGTATAGCTGGTGCTCACATTCTTGCTACTGTAACTGAAACAAAACTTTCATGAGTCGAATTTAATAGATGTGATATGAGTGGTATTTTTAATATGTGGTTTTAAAATACCGATTGTAACTTGCAGTCTGAAAAAACACAGCCAATAAATGCTGTGGTAAAGACCTCAAGTCTTCATATCAGTAAAGTTGCATTTCTCTGTGGGGGTTTCCAAAGATGGGACATCTTGCTCTGTGATGCAGAAGGTGCAGGATTACAGTCCCAGATGGTGTACAAGTAGAAGGCAGAATTATAAAGGCTCTGTGTTCTATTCTGTGGATGATTTTCTCCTGAAAGTGTCAGAGACCCAAGAGAAACTTCATACATCTCCAGGATAGTAATGTGATTAATTGGGGTTTCCAACAAATAATTTTAATTACAGGCTAGATCAACAGGGAGATGCTGGTGACAGGAAGATTGGCTAGAATGTTCTTCTGAAATTCCGGTGCCTTTTCATCACAGCCATTTTCTGTAATATTGTGCTGTAAAACATGATCTTGCATTTGGTGAGACCCAGGTTGCAATCCTGCTGTGTTCTTGCTGGTTGATTGAACTTGGGACAGTTTATATATTGGTGGGACCAGCTGTTGATGTCTTTGTTTTATAGATAAAAGAACTAGGGCCCAGAGAAGGAAGTGGACTTGAGCACCATCAGCACCTAGAGTGTGGTAGAGCTGGAACCAGAGTGCAGGCTTCAAACTTCTCTTCCAGTGTCCTGTGTTTGTGTGTGAGGCTGACAGCAAATCACGAGTTAGCTCAAGCTCTTCGCAGAATAGCTCCTTTTCATGTATAACTGTTATTGGCTGTCAAGTTCAAAACTCTTCTGTTTTTTTAAGGAACTCCCAAGTTACTGAAGCAGCTGCTTTTAACCCTCACCATTGCCTTGACTTTGCTTAATGCAGATCAAAGACACAGCTCTCCCCGTCTGTCAAGCGCAAGAGAGAAGTCAGCCCTCCTGGGGCCCGAACAAGAGGCCAGCAAAGGGTAGAGGAAGCCCCCGTGAAAAAAGCGAAGCGATAATCCCGACCACTGCTGCCCTAGGCTTATGGAAGAACATAGTGGAGAAGAAAGAGACATGCCTCGGTGGCTGTAGGCTTCTCTTTAACCAGGAAAAAGATACGCATGTGCTGTAAGTCCCTAGGTGCAAGCTTTTTCTTGTTATGTTTTAAACAGCTTTATAAACTATTGTTCATAGAAGATATTATGTACATTTATTTCAGATAAAGGACAATAAGTTTACTTTGTATCTGAACTCAAAACAAAGTAGTTGTATATTTTAACATTTGAAATTGGGATTTCCCAATGTGACACATCATTAATGCAAACCCTTCCAGCCCAACAGACACCAGGCTGCCTACTGGTAATCTGTGTATAGTATATAAACATGTAAAAATAGGTTGTATTTTACTCTATGTATGATGCTAATCAATGAACATTTTATTTATTTTACAGAGAAAACTTATCTGTGAACTTTACTATATATCTGTTTATTTTACTTTATTCTTTTTTTTTTTTTTTTTTAAATAAAAAAGGGTTTTAAAAATGCTATGCAGTCATTAGTAGAAAATTTTTTAGGTCTCTGCCTGCCCTGTAACTATCTTAATATGATCTGGCAGAAATTCGCATGTATCCAAGTAAAGTAGTTTAGCTAAAGAAAGGTTCTCCATTGCTTTTCTGTTCACAGTTGTGACTCTGTTTTTTAAGAATGTAACTTGTTTTTAGATTATACTTGCATCTGTGACTTTACTACCAGTCCCACTGACATAAAATAGGTTCTGGTTCAGGTAAAGTTGCGTCCAGTCACCTGCAGCAGATACCCCTCTGTTGGTGTTCATTCCTCTTCTCTGTGCTATTCTGAAGCTTCTACCAATACTCTTTCCATATGTCTTTTTCAGTAAAGAGAAATGCATTGAAGATTAGGTCACTCCTGTCTACTCAGTTTCAGGATTTTATGTTGTTTTATACACAGTTATTTCAGTATAGAAACTGGCTTTATTGCCACATGTTTTATTAAACATGTTTTAACTCTCATACGAGCAAACTGTCCAACTTCAGTTTTTCATAAGATTAAACTTCTTACGATCAAATTTGTCTCTTGCAATGATGTGATGAGTTGCCAAATAATTGAGATTATTTTAAAATGTTTTGTTCATATTCTTGTTTTATAATTAAAATTTACATTCAGTGTGGTTTTTTTTTTTTTTATTTTGAGTCTTAATGTAAGGTGGATATTTCTGTCATTTTACATGGTTTCTTACTGAGATTTTATATATAAATTATAAAATGTTTACCAAAATTTGAGTGGTAAGAATTTTTTGTGTGTGTTTTAAAATTTGTCTGCATGAAAACCATTTCTTCTCTCTAATTGATCCTAGATGTATTGTTCCATGTTCACATTCAAATATGAGTCTGTGATGGCCTTTCTCGGTAGAACTGAACTTGGTAGAACTTGGTAGAACAGAAAGTCCCTTGGAGACGAGGAACACGAGAGTTTCTCATTTTTGTCTATACAGATGAGTTTTTTTTTTTTTATTTTTTTTTTTTTTTTATACAGATGAGTTTTAACCAAAGCTCAAAAATCTAAAGTGATTTGTCTTAAGAAATGTAAATCAAAGCCACAGTGATGTACCATCTCATACCAGTTAGAATGGCTTTTATTAAAAAGTCAAAAAATAACAGATGTTAGCAAGAAAAGGGAACACTTATACACTGTTGGTAGGACTGTAAATTAGTTCAGCTCTTGTGGAAAGCAGTTTGGAGATTTCTCAAAAAATTAAAATTACCATTTAACCCAGCAATCCCATTAACAGGTATATGCCCAAAGGAAAGTAAATTGTTCTACCGAAAAGATACCTGCACTTACTTATTACAGCACTACCCACAATAGCAAAGACAAGGAAGCCACCTAGGTGCCTGTCAACAGTGGATTGGATAAAGGAAATGTGGAACATGTACACCATGGAATTCTATGTAGCTATAAAAAGGAACGAAATCGGCCGGGCGCGGTGGCTCACGCCTGTAATCCTAGCACTTTGGGGGGCCCAGGCAGGCAGATCACGAGGTCAAGAGGTCGAGACCATCCTGGCCAACATGGTGAAACCCTGTCTCTACTAAAAATACAAAAAAATTAGCTGGGCGTGGTGGCGTGCGCCTGTAGTCCCAGCTACTCGGGAGGCTGAGGCAGGAGAATTGCTTGAACCTGGAAGGTGGAGGTTGCAGTGAGCCGAGGTCGTGCCACTGCACTCCAGCCTAGCACCTGGTCACAGAGTGAGACTCTGTCTCAAAAAAAAAAAAAAAAAAAAAAAAAAAAAAAAAAGGAACGAAATCATGTCCTTTGCAACAACAATGATGGAGTTGCAGGCCATTATTCTAAGTGAATTTACGCAGGATCAGAAAACCAAATCTAAAATTTTAAAATGTAAAAAGTAAAAGGGTAGAATCTGAACTAGTTTTCAAGGTTCCTGATTCCTTTGGTCACAGTCTTTGCACTGGTCAATTTTAGATTGATTCACCAGCAATGCATTCTGAAAATGCATTACTGTGACACTGATGTTACTCAGTTTAATAATGGCTGCTGTGGGCATGACCCTGTAGGGACCGAGTCGTTGGAGGGTGAAGAAATGCTGCCTCTCGATGACACTGGAACTAAATAGTGGAATTACATGAAGAATTTTAAGATGGGGAAGTCAGCTAGACCACATGCCTTCCAGTGGTTCTAATACCACTGCTTATGGGACTTTGGAAATAGGAGGAAGCAATTCTTAGTCATCACAGTGATTTGCTACTACTAGTATTCAGCAGAAGGGAGGAGGTCGGGAATGCAAAACATCCTGCAATTCACAGGACAATCCCTGACTCCAAAAAAAAAAAATCCAGTCTAAAATCCAGTAGCTTCCGTTAACCCACTGAGAAGCACTTGGAGACCATCTCCAAGTTTGACATTTCCCAGGCGTCGGCGTGGTTACCACTGCCACTGCCTCACTGCTTCTCTGTGAGCAACCTGAACAAGAGCCCACCTGCTCTTCCCACCCCGGAGCTGAGACAAGGCTAGGAGTATCACACAAGACTTAGTGAAGGTAGCAGAGTGTCCTGTGACAGGGCGATGTGGCTCCCGACGATGGCTAGCTCCTGTTCAGTTGAAGTTGGTCATCTACAACCACAGTCCTTCCCTGCCTTCTTCAGGTCTCTTTCCTCAGGGTGGTACCACTTGACCCCTACCACCTAGACTTTACATACTAGAATCTACTAACTAAGGGTTACCATCACCATGCCAATTAGGAATGGTCATCTGGTAACACTCTTCTTCCAAATGAGATTTCAAGGCAAGTTGGTGGCAACACAGACTGAACTCTTATCTTCTAAACCCCCCAGGCCAGGGTTCTTTATATGAAAACCCATGGGAGGGAGGCATTGATCTTTCCACCTCAACAGCAGGCTCACTGCTCTTAGGACCACAGTATATTAGAACCTTTCCCCAAACATCTCTGCCACTGATAAAACCTAACTGATTTGAGGTCAGAGGGAGATGGTTCTAACTAGAAGAAATGCTGGAAAAGGTTGCTGTTGTATTTTTTGTTTTTTGATTTTTGGATAGATTGTTCATCCTGTGTACAAGAGCACCTTACATTTATTAAAATCACTGTGTAGCCATCTGTATGATTAAATCAACAACAAGATGCTTTTGGAATACACTGACATACTGTTCTTAGGGGAAGAAAATAACCAGCACTTTTACCTCTGAAACTGCTGGGAAAGGACACATTTGTTGAGCTATACTACTTTGCCCAACACTAGGGACTGAAATGTTGGCTCAAGTCTCACGGGAACAACCACATGAAGCAAACAGCTAGGCTGCACTGGCATGGTTGTCATAGAACATAGCAAGCGGGAGAAATTACCTTCCTGAGAGAAGCAGGAAAAAGGACTAACACCTGGTGGATGAAGGGAGGAGTTTATTTTTATAAATCTAAAATGGTGTTTCAAGCAAGACTGGAACCTAAAGAGAGTATTTTGGAAGCTGAAGAGCAGGGACTACTGGAGACAGTAATGGATGCCATTTTTGCCACTAAGTCAACCTTTCAGAAACCCTGGAGGAAGATACAGATAATACTATCAATATATCTTGGTATTACACAACACACTAGTTCCAAGAGATGTTTCCTCACACAGCAACCCTTCCTGGAAATTCACTGTGCACATCAGCACATGTAAATGCTAAGAAATTGTGAGAGGAATCAGGTTAACTTTGTTGAACCCAGGTTATTAAACCTTAGAATACCTGCTTTCTTTCCCCAAACCAAACACACAGAAACTTAATCTAACATCCATGGAAACTGATGTTGCACAAAACTTTGAAAACCCTTAAGAATTTCAGAACAGCCCTGTGAAAGAGTGTCATACACCCAATTCATACTTGGGAGAATGTAAGCACAGGGCCATTACATAGCTTGCTTAAGAACACACATATGAAGCATAACTAGGACTGGAACCAAGGTCTTGTCTGAGGATTTCCTCCACTTCATTCACCTAGCTAGTGCCCACAGCAGATCTAAATGGCAACAGATTTCCCTTGACATTCTCTTAGAATAAGTTCAAAAAAAAAAAAAAAAAAAAGCAGCTGGGCATGGTGGCTCACACCTGTAATCCCAGCACTTTGGGAGGCCAAGGCAGGCGGACCACTTGATACTAGCCTGGCCAACATGCCAAAACCCTGCCTCTACTGAAAATACAAAATTTAGCCAGGCGTGGTTGGGCATGCCTGTAATCCCACTACCTGGGAAGCTGAGATACAAGGATTGCTTGAACCCAGGAGGGAGGCGTTGCAATGAGCTGAGAATTGCTCCACTGCACTCCAGCCTGGGAGACCCCAACTAAAAAAAAAAAAAAAAGTTACAAAACCTTAATTTTTCAGCTGGGCATGGTGGCTCATGCCTATAATCCCTGCACTTTGGGAGGCTGAGGCAGGTGGATTACAAGGTCAGAAGTTCAAGACCAGCCTGTCCAAGATGGTGAAACCCCGTCTCTACTAAATTTATACAAAAGGTTTATTATTTTATAGCTGTTTATCAGTTTTACTACATTTGTCTACAGCTCTAACAATATTTTCAGTTTTAAATTGTTTTGCTTTCTAAATAGAACCATTTTATGGATCATTTGAGACTTGCTTTTTTCTTCTACATTATGTTTTAAGATTCATCTATGTTAACATAGCTCCAGTTGGATTCATTTTAACTGCTGTATAGTATTCCATTGAAGGAATATATATATATATATATATATATATAAATATGTGTATATATGTATTTCATTCACCCCTTACTGGTCCTTGGGTTGTTCACAGATTAATTTGCTTTGTTTTAAACATTTTTGTGAAGTTTCTCTATGGTTGAGTTTCCTAAACTTACTCATTTTGTTGTACATATAGAAATGGTATTTGTAGGCATAGGATATAAGTGGAAGGACCAGGCTGGCTGCTGCCTAAAGAGACCATCAGCCTGTTAACCAGAAACAGCAGACCACTCAGCTACTTTGAAGCTAGGGAATTGATCCATCTTCACACCCGTATCCATTCCTTGCACTAAGATATACACAGCTTTCTGCTCCACGGTACAACTGCTAATTCCTAGGATAAGCATATTTTCAGTTTTGGAAAATGATGCCACAAGTTTTCGCAGATGTTTGTACCATACTGTACTCAGACCAGTAGTGTTTAAAAATTACTTCTCTTTCTGACGTTGAGTAGTACAGGACTTCTTGATTTTCGCCTATCTAATAGGGATAATATATCTCATTGTGGCCTTTATTTGCATTGGTTACAAGAAGGTTGATCATGATTTCATGTGCTTATTTTCCATCCTTATTTCCTGTGAAATGCCAGTACATGGTTTTTGTCTATTTTTCCATTTGTTTATTTGTGTTTTTCTTATCAACTTTTAGGAGTTCTTTATATATCTTTATATATTCAGGATATTAATCCTTCATGTATATGTGTTGCTAACATATCCCTCCCCAAACACACACACACACACACACACACACACACACACACACACGGTTTGTGTTTTCACTTTATGGTACTTCAAGATGAACAGTTTTTTAATTTTAATGTAATTAATATAAATTTAGTCTTGTGGCCTGCTTTTTTTGAGTCCTAAAGACTCAAGATCAAATAGCTATTCTAAAATTTGTATTGTTTTGCCACACATTTGATGGATGGGGAGGAAAGGAAGAGCTTTTGTAGCAAGCCAAGTATATAAAAGAATCTAGGTCAAACTCTCTCAGATACCCCTAGATGTT